CCAAAATTGTTAAAGGGTATGTAAGCATCGGTGTACCTTTTGTATATTCGTGATTTGCGCAAAGGCTTTGTTGAATATAATTTATTTGTGTACACAATTCTATAAATATATACATATTGTAGCCAGTTTTTTGGCGCAGCGTCACGCATAAAGCCAAATAAATTAAATCGCCTTAAAACACACACGTCTTCCATTAACAGACTTTGAACACGTTGCAAGTGTGTGCGTGTGTGTGTGTGTGTTTGCTCTCGCAAAATATAAATTATAAAACAGGTGCGCAGTTAATTCTAAAATGAATGGGCTGCTAAAAAATAATTATCATATTTTATAGCATTTTTATGATAATTGAAAGAGTTTTATGATTTATTTGGTATTTACTTTTGTTCAATGACTATTAACACATTTGTTTTCTCTTTTATTTATCACCTCTCTTTAAGCCAAATGCAAATTTGGCAATATTTATGGCCAATATTAATTAATTGCTAATAATATTAAAACGATTCACAGGTTTTATAATTTTAATCTATGCAGGAAACTAGTTTTAGTTTTTGTGTTGGGAATAAGAGCAATAAATGTATTAAATATTAGAGTAGCTTGGAAAAGCTGAGCAAATAATGTAAATAGTCAATTGAATCGATGGGCATTTGAAGTTGCAACAAATATTTCTTAAGCCAGCAATCAATTTAGTTGTGGAATTTTTATGCATATTTTATGATTAACTCGTTGGCAGAATGAGAAATTTCGACTGCATATGCATATATAATGCTTTTGAAATAAATAACTATAAATATGCACATTTTGTATATGGCCTTAACAGCAATGCGACCTTGAAAGAAATCCCTAAATGAAATAATTAAAATGCAAGTCAAACGAAAACCGCAAAATGTGAAATGCAAAATGCAAAATACAAAAAAATAGATTTTAATGCAATTTAGTGTTGCTAATTTTAAGCAACGAAATGAATATTTTAAAGACAACTGTTAAAATATGAAAAACCATTTGCAGGGCCACAATTCCATTACGAATTTTATGCAAGCTAATGGCTGTCACATTCCAATATGGCACCGCATCCGTACAAAAAATGGCGAATGCAGCCTGACCTTGTTCAAAATGGGAAGGCAGTAATAAATGGTTCTTTAGTCCTTTCTTCATCTTCTGCTGCTGCCAGCAACACATGCCGAGTGCACCCTAAAAGGCAAACAACAAAAAGGCACATTTCCAAAATAGTCATTAACAATGAGAGCTCTTATATAGCAAGCTGATCGTAGAAATAAAGAAAGTCGTAAATGAAGCACAGATGAGAAATATATATAACTGATTTCACTTTGAACATTTTTTACCTTTTTATAATAAATAAAAATTGAAGGCTGTATCATTTTTAAATTGGTTTCTTTGCAAGAAAGTGGCCTGTCTCATATTTTAATTAATTTAATTACACTTTTAATTGCAGTTTTTATATAATAAGCTTTAAGGCTCCAGCCGAGAATGCTCGACGAGGAGATTATTAAATGTTAACAAAATCTGTGTTTCTTAACCGACTTAAGAATATTTGTTGTTGATCAATAATATGACAGACAGACGGATGTGGCTAAATTGACTCGCTGGATGATGCTGATTAACTTTAATGTATACTTACTTTAATGTCGTAGATTTTTCCATCTGATTTTCATTAAAAATGAACATTTTTATCAATTTTTAATGTGTTCAATGTATAAGAATAATGTGGAAAATTGGTTTAAATTGACAGCTTAAATTTCCACTGACGTGCAACGAAACGAGTAAAAGTCAAAAATGCGGAAATCAGAATTGTTTGCTGACTTCAAAATCTCGTCATAAACTTTTTCTTTATTGACATTTGCCAAACTGTACAAAACTTTGCAAACAACACGCTCAAAATAGAAAGCGAAAAAGGAAAAAACAAGAAAAAAATTGGCCAAACTATTTTCGACTTATCGCCAAAAATGGGCCATTGAATAAATATCAAAAGCAAATGGCCATAAATATTTCTGATCGGCTTTTCATTTCAATACCGTATATATTTCTTTTCATTCTTTTTTGAAAAGGCGCACACATTTTTTTATGATTGTTTTGCCGGCTCGCTTTTTTTTTGGGCACATGGAAATTCTTATTTTTAGCGAGCTCTGCGAGATATGTTAAAATCATTTATGCCGCTTTAAAAGCCACAAATGTCGGACCATTGCTGACAGGCGGAGCCCAGAGAGTATTCTTTGTTGTTGTTTTGCATAGGGATTTGCACGGTTGTAAAGCGATACCCGCAAAAGTATGCGTGAATATCACAATAACGAATATAACTCGCATATAACGTATACGCAGTGTGCGCTTTAACGACGATAGAAAACGCGACGAGCAACTTTACGATGCCCCCGCATCATTTGATTTTATTGCAAATGGGCCAAGCAGCGACTTGCAAGTGTCAAAAAAGCAAAACACACAAAATACAACAGCAAAAATGATAAAGACCAGCTAGCTGAGACAAACCGAGAATTCCATACTCTCAACCCTACTAGCTGATAAGTTTATTTTTTCTTCTCTTTTTTTTTATTTAAGCAAATTATAGCTCAAAATTAAGAAAAACTCATAGCTTCAAGAAATATATTATCTGTATGGAGAATTTCCAAAATTCAGCGCATTGTCTTGCTGAGTTTATTTATGTAACTGACAGCAGCAAAACCAAGATCCAAGATTCATCAACATAGGTTTAAGGCTGACAGAACACATCCATATCCAATAGCGTTACATACGAAATAAAAAAAATTATAAAACCAAAAAAAGAAGAGTAAGCCAGGATTTGTTGGTTCTTGTTTTTCTCGCTCCGCTGAGGAAGTTGGCCTGCTCTCTTGTCCTTGAGCCAGTTTGTGCGCCCTTTGTTTATGATTAATGCGATGATGATCCTGACAACGTTGAGAATGCAACAACAACAACAACAATGCAACAAAGCAACGAAGCGCAGCACATCAAATGCAAATAACTGGCGGCCTGAATATAATCAAATCGAAACATGGCAACAGCATCAAACTTGTCGACAACGGAAACTGCACAAAATGACAAACAAAGCACAGCCCAAGGGCTTTCACTCTGTGTGTGTGTGTGTGTTTGTGTGTGTGTACCTGTGTATGTGTGTGTGTATGAGTGAGTGTGTGCGAGTGTGTCAAGGCCAGATAAATCAATTAAATTATGGCATTTCGACACTCAGAAGAAAAATCACCCCAATATGAAAGTCGTCCAAAAAACGGAACGTTTTCCTTATTTTTAGAAATAATTTTAAATATAATTTCTAATTCTTAGTAATATTTTATATTATTAAGAAAATATTTCTAAAATTAGAAATGCAAATCCAAAAACCAAAAAATTCTTTGTAAAATTCAGAAACAAGTATGAAATTTAATAATTATATTAGTGTTAAGCAAGCCTTTTTTTTAATGAAGTAGATACATTTTTATAAACTATTTAAAATGTTTGTATATGTGAAATATTAAAATACTAATATTTTAATAATAATATAAGTAACAAATTGCTAATGTGTATGCTTATAAAAAACATCTCCAAGGAAGTTTCACCTGATATGTTGTCATGCAAATCGCAGTTTTTAGAAATTTACTTTCTAAATAACACAATTAAAAGCGATTTTTTTCCAAGTGTATGCAGCTGTTATATGCAATATTTCTATTTCTTGTTACAAAACTACTTTCATGTTTTCCGGCTTTATTGACATTTTCTATTTGCCAGCGGACAGCAGAAACTAACAGAGACGGTCATATGGATAGACAGACAGACACAGAACAAACAAACAAACACTTTGAGAATTTATTTTCAGTTTTTTTTGCATATCACATTAGCATATGACAAATTTGAATTCTGCTTGTGGAAAATGCGAAAATGGAATGGGAAAAGTGCGCTTGCAGCTCTTCCTGTCTGCTGAGAATTCGAAAAAACGTCTTTTGCTCACAGTGAGTGAAAATATAATCTTTATGTTAACCATTATCAAACAAATAGATAAACAAGTAGGAGGACTCGCGTTGACGTCACGACTTGCAAATACTCTGGAATGAGATTTGGTTTACTTTAAATTGGTAAACGATAGACATAAGTTAAGTAGCTAATAAAATGTTTGAGTGAGGGAAAGTCGTCTGTAGTTTTGATCTAGAGGTCGACCTATAATTAAAATGCCCTAGGTTTTGAAAATAGAATCATTTTTGCAAAGTTATGGTTGCGGAAAGTTTCGACCAGTTCGTGGAAGCGCTTATGCACTTTAATTTCAACATTAATTTAATGCCAGATTTGCATTTTCTGTTTTGAATGTAGTATTAAAGAAGGGCCTAAGTCATGATAAAAAATTCCTGGTGTTCCAAAAATCTGATCATTTTTGACAAAGTTGTTTTTGGAAAATCTTAGCCCATTCTTACAAACGCATTTGTGAAGTATAATTTTAATATGAATTTCCCAAACAACTTTAAGTTAAGTTTTGGCAAAGTTATGATTGTGGAAAGTTTCGACCACTTTTTTTTGGAACACAATTTTCAAATGAATTTCGAAACCCAGTCTAGTTTTCAGGTTTGAATGTAGTGATAAAAAAGTAGTCAAGCCATGACCAAAACACCCGAGTTTTTGAAAATCAGATTATATTTGACGGTGCTTAAGAATTTCTTAATTTGCGAATTTGTGTTTGTAATCTTAAGAGTTAATATACATCAAACACACACACTTCCATAAATATGCAAAAGATTTCGATAATAGACCACCGCCACCGTTTGTATAGCACGATATACAAACTCTCGATCGAAAGACCACAAATGCTGCCACACGATTTACGCCGCACTCCAACTATCGATAATTACCTATCGCTTGCAACAAGTTCAAAACATATTAGTGTGTACAAAACTGCATGAAATCATATAAGACATTTAAACTGTAGCATGCTATTAGTTAACATCAAATAAATATTATTATTTCAACAAACGTGCACATTAAACTAAACTTTAAACAGTAACTTACACAAAGTTTTAAATCACGACGGTAATGTGCGCCAAATGCCGCAACGAACAGCTGATTACGAAACAGCCCTGTTTTTGTCTATACGAATTTAGCTATTTATTGAAATTAAAGGAGTAATTTATAAGCAACTAGAAATAAATATAAAATAGTGATAAAATGTCAGTTTGCACATCCGCTGAGATAGCAGAGAAACGTCGCATTGCACTGGCTAAGCTGCAGGCAAAAACTAAACAAGGCCCGCCAACAAATTCAAATGCAAAACCTGCTTCAAATATTTTGAGCGCAAAACCAGCTGCCAATTTTTATAAATCTCCGCCAGAAAACACAACAAAAGCAGCTGCTATTAGTAATAACAATAATAATAATAACAGTAATAATAAGAGCTCGGCTTTTCTGAATGCACTCAAGGCAATTAAATCAACATCCGCGCGGGAATTGAGCCGTCAATCTACGCATCCTTATCAGCGTCCAAAATCGTCTCTAAAACTAAGTCCCGAGAAATTGGAGCAGCCTGTAGATAATGGAGCTTTGGCGCCTGTTTTTACAAAATCCATCAATTGTCGCACTTATATGATAAGCGCTCGACGCTTCGCCATCGAGCCCTCGGGCTATCATGCGAAATTGATTGAGGTCTTTAAGAACATACCCAGTAAATCTTACGATAGTCAAACGCGCATTTGGAATTTCGAACTCGAGGATTATCAGTTGTTGCAGCAACATGTGGGCGATCTCAAGCCTCAAGTGCTCCTGGGCACCATACCAAAGAAAGTGATTAAGTTGTGCCAGCAGCCAGCAAAGTCGCTGGAACGCAGCGTTTTGGCTTCGATAGACGAGAAACTGGCCGAAAAACTAATGCCCTTCCAGAAGGAGGGCGTCTGGTGAGTAGTTGACTACTCTATACTCTAAGTGATGCTCCGATTAATGTTCCTCCTTTCCCCCTTTGTAGCTTTGCGATTGCGCAGCAAGGTCGTGTCATGATCTGTGATGAAATGGGCCTGGGTAAAACATATCAAGCGTTGGCTGTTGCTGATTATTTTCGGGAGGATTGGCCACTGCTCGTATGCACCACGGCCAGCACAAGGGATACCTGGGCTCGACATATTACCGAATTGTTACCGTCGGTGCCGGTGCACTGTGTCCAGGTGCTGGCCAATAATCAATATTTGCAGGATGCCAAGGTGCTCATCGCCAGCTACAACATGATGGAGCGTTCCATAGACAAACTCTTGCAGCGCAAGTTCGGCTTTGTCATCTACGATGAATCGCACACGCTCAAAAATGGCAAAGCCAAGTGCACAGCAGTTGCCAAGCGCTTGGCGGATCAAGCCAAGCGAGTCATTTTGTTGTCCGGGACGCCGGCATTGTCCCGTCCCTTGGAGCTCTTTACGCAGCTGCAACTCATCGATGGTCGCTTCATGACCTTCATGGAGTTCAGTAAGTTAAACGATTATTTTTTTTATTGTAAGGGAAATAACTCCAATTACAACAGTTAAATCTGTACAGCTTTTGTTTTAAATGATTATATATATTTTATATAGCTAGTCGCTATTGTGATGGCAAACAGACGCAGTTTGGCTGGGATGCCAATGGACAATCGAATTTGGAGGAGCTGAAGGTGATCTTAACGCTCAAATACATGCTGAGGCGTACCAAAGCTGAGGTCTTGCCACAGCTGGCCGAGAAGAATCGGTAATTTGTATATTCTCAGTCTGTTTGTTATTTTATTGTTGTTCTTTTCGCTGGCAGTGAAACAGTTGTGTTGGATCCGGCTTTGGTCTGGACGAATGATGATGCCAAAAGCACATGCAATCAATTTAATACGGCTCTACAAAATGCCAAAGGCAAATCTCGGGAGGAGGTTTTACTGCGATTCTATGCGCGCACAGCGGAGGTGAAAACGAGGGCAGTCTGGTAAGATGGCGAGATATATATCGATCATAAAACAATGGCTTTATATAATGTTTATATGTGCATCAAGTTCCACCTCAATTATAAATTATTAAATAAATATATATGTGCCACAAATCATTTTCTTATGCAGCGCATATTTAAAGACTTTGGTCAAGGAGCAGCCGAAGTTTATTATATTTGCGCATCATCGCGTGATGATGGATGCGATTAGTGATTGCCTGCGTGAACTTAAAGTGCAATTCGTACGCATCGATGGTCGAACGGTGAGCGATGTTCGAGCCGACTATGTGGACACATTCCAAAAGAAGAGCAGCTGCAAGGCGGCTGTGCTATCCCTAAAGGCCTGCAACTCAGGCATCACTCTGACGGCAGCCGAGTTGATCGTATTCGCTGAGCTCGACTGGAATCCAAGCGTATGTTAACAGCTCTCATTTCTTATTATATATAATATTAATATATGTTTTGCAGACTTTGGCGCAGGCAGAGAGTCGAGCCCATCGCATTGGCCAAACAAAGCCAGTGATTTGTCGTTATTTGATGGCTCATCAAACAGCGGATGATATCATCTGGAATATGCTGAAGAGCAAGCAGGAGGTGCTCAGCAAAGTGGGCATCTTTGGCGACAATCTACAGCAGGCCACACACACAGCAGCGCCAACAACCGTAAATTAATAAAACAGCAGCAAAGCATTTGATACTCAACTTTCTCATTGCAGTCCCGAAAAATAGAGCAGTACTTTTCACCGGTCAAGTCCACATCGGGCACAATAGAGCAGTATTGTTTACCTGTGAAGGCATTGACTACATCAAACAGCAATATGGAAAAACCAACTGGTTCAGAAGTGGACAGTGCACAGGATATTGCAGCATTTTTCAAAGATGATGATGATGATGAAGCTTTTATGGAACTGAATATTTGATGGTTTAGTCAAGGCTTTCGAATGTTCTGTATACGAATGATGTGCTGATGATGATGATGGATCTGGAATTTATATTAATCAGTCAGTTTTCACATAAATCAATCTGCAGTTAAGTGTCAATTATCATTAACATGTTAAATATTCTACATGCTAAAAATTCATTTTATGTAAAACAAATTCATTTTATTTCATATATTTTGAGTTTGTTGTTGTTGTAAATGCTCTGTATAACAATAAATCAAACTTCAGTTAAATGTAAGAAAAACTATTTTAATTTGCTATTAATATTTTATGTGTGCAACATATTCATTTTAGATTTATTTTCTAATATTTTTTTTCTTGCTTCAGGTCAAGTGATTTTTTTTATTTATTGTATGGAGTCCTGAAGTCGGCAACAAAACATATTTAAGAATACAATATATATTTATTTCAAAGCATATTCAATTCATAGCTTCATTTAAATGTATTGTTTATAAATCTTAAATTAAAACTGTTTTGTGATTAGAATTCATTGCGCATGCGCTGCGAGAAAAACTTCCAACTTGTTCACTGCCTTGGCAACAAATCAAACAATTGTCGACAAAACTTTTTGAATTGACTCAAAACTGTCAGATATATATATTTATATATGTATGTACATATGTATAAAGAATATGTGTATGGATATTGAGATATAAACAAGAGGCATGACTAGCTCAGTGGATAACTTTGATACACAGGATGTTGATGGCGAGGAAGAGGAACTCGGGGATGACTACGGCATCTCATTCCTGCGCGACATCATCAGCTTGGAGTAAGTGCAAACAACCAAATATATATATATATATATATATATATATATATATATATATAACTGTATAATTGCAGACACTCTTTTGGCTATGACTGCAAGCGACTGTTCAACTTGGTGTTGGTGGATGATGATACCCTGATCTTTGCATCCGGCAACTTTCTGCACTACTTCAGCATTAAACGACGTGAGGTGACTTTCCGCCAGACAGTCTTTGGCTGCGGCATTGGCTTTATAACGGTGCGTTCGTATGAAGGAGAGATTGATAACTGTAGCCCTTAAAGATATTAGTTTTCCGATTTAGCCCCTTATAGGGCCGAAGTTTATTGCAAGTTTGAAGTCTCTTCGATATCAGAATATAAAAATTAAAATCATAAACAATTTTTATATATCCAAATTCTCTTCACAGAAAAACGAACGTCCCGAGTTCCAGAATCTGTTTACTGTGGCCGAGAATGGGCCGCGTCCGACGATCTTCATCTATGAGTATCCCTCGCATGAGGTGCGCATCAAGCTGCTGAATGCGGCCAAGAATTGTTTCACTGCCGGCGCTTACAATTCGAGTGGGGAACTGTTTGCCTCACAGGCGGGTTATCCGGATTTCATCATCACCATTTGGCGCTGGCAGCAGGCCGAGGTTGTGTTGCGTGCCAAATCCTTTCAGAGCAACATACACTTTGTGCACTTCTCTGAACATAATCCGATACTGCTCTGCTCCTCGGGTCTCAGTCACATCAAATTCTGGAAGATGGCCAATACTTTTACCGGCCTCAAACTCAAGGGGGATTTGGGTCGCTTTGGCAAGACGGATTTCAGTGATATATGTGCCATGTATATGCTACCCGATGAGAATGTCATCTCCGGCTGTGATTGGGGCAACATTTTGCTGTGGGAAGCGGGCCTGATCAAGTTCGAGGTATGCCGGAAGGGACGCAAGCCTTGCCACTTGAAGCCGATCACACGCATCACGATGCGGAATGGTGAGGTGACCACCGTGGGCATGGATGGCTATGTGCGCGTCTGGTTTTGGGAGACGGTCGATCTGGCCGATCCGCCAGAGGATAATCTCTTCGTCGAAATCGATCCGATTTATGAGTTCAAAATCTCCGATGTGGAATTGCGTTGTCTGCAAAAGATTAAACCATTTGAGGACACAAATTTTGGCTATTATGCGCAGGATGGCGGTGGCGGGATTTGGTATTGTGACATCAATACCTTCGATGTGCCACAGCCGGCCAAGCAGCTCTACTCGTGTGTAGGTGGACGTGTGATCGCTGCCCAAATGTCACCGGTTTCCCCGCATCTGTTGGCGCTCTCCGAGACGGGGAAGATCTTTGTGTATGATTATGAAAAGTGCCGGCTGCTGTTGGAGAAACAATTTGTGGCACATGGAGTGGACATCATTTGGCTGGACACACAAGTCTCTAGCTATGGCACAGAGTTGCTCGCTGCCTTTGAGGATGGCATATTGAGGCAGCTGTTCCTGGATTTGAGTGTCCCGTCGAAGGCTTCAGTGCGTCTCGTTGAGGCGTACAAGGCACACACGGCACCCATCACCTGCTTGAGTGTGAATCGTCAGAGCACCGTGATCATCACAGGCTCCGCGGACAAGAGCATGTTCATCTATCGGCTGGGCAATGATGTGAATCGGTTGGTTCAACTGCAGCCATTGGGATTTGTGGAGTTCAAAGCGGTGCCAAACTGTTTCCACTGGAGTCTGGCGCAACCTGTTGTTGTCTTAATTGGTTGCAAGAGTGGCGAGGTCTATGAGTATAGTATAAGCACAGATATCTCCGAGGAGCAGACCTATTTGTCCTACAACATCACAGATGCCACACGCATGCGCAGCACTCGCTTTGTTTCCGTGAAGAGTCGCATCCGGCGGGATCTGAAACGGGAACGAACCAAGAAACGCAAGGAGCGAAAAAGGGAGCGGAAAATGCGTGAAATTGAGAAATTGAAGCAAGCGAATCCCGGCTTGCAAATTGACATGGAAAGCGCTTTGGCCGACTCCGAACCGGATGAGGAGGAGGAACCGCTGCACATACCCAGTATACCCAACCGGGTTATTTGGCTGCGTTACACAGAGCGGGACACCATCTGGGTCTCCATGGCCGGCTATGATGCGGGCTATATCTACGAGCTGGACTTTGAGAGTGCCGAGCCGAAGGTGTGCACTGAGATTACGGATGCAGATGACATCGAAATACACTCCTACTTCATTGTGTAAGTGCGGGAAATGATGCCTTAAGGTGTCTTGCCCTTAGTTCCCTAGTTCGGATAACTATAATAAGGTACTGAGAGTACCTAAAACTAATTTTCGGAGGCTCCTTCTCTCATACCTTAGGTATGACAAACGATATTGTAGATCCCCGATAAAGTCTAATTAATAACTGAGAATGCTGAATGAATTTACTTAGGCCAGTATTAAACCCTGTTGTCGATTCTTAACCCGAGTAATTCTGATGGTTTCAACTTCCTTTATTTCTTCACTTGGGACAGGATTGAATACTTATCTAAGGCTAGGGTTGTTCTTGGTCCCTGATTAGTTATTGAGAATACCTACAATTACTTTTTATAGTCTTCTCCTTCGCCACCAACTCTTGTCTAACTCAGTAAAATCCCTCTCCCCACACAGCGATGAGTATATAATGTTTGGTCTGATGAATGGCAGTCTGCGCATCAATCGCCTCAATCCGGAGGATTTCACCGACCTAGCCGATTATCGCATTTATCCGATGCACGATGCCATCAAAGGAACAATTCCGGCGATTATCAGCAGCTACAACGGCGAACAATTGGTGAGCGTTGGCTACGATGGCAATATCTTCCTGTACAAGTGGAACGGCCCTAAGTTGGTGAGGAATTCATTGAGACGGCATCTGCCAGCGATGCCCGGCAGACCGGAGGTCGAGGATATTGTGGATGTGGAGACGCCATCGCTGGAACAGGAGAAGATCAATGCAGAACTGCAGCGACAACAGGAGGCAGCCGAGGCACACGATCGCGATGTCCTCGCCAAGATCGGGGCACTGCAGAGTGTGTACTTTGAGATTGTCAAACGCAACGATGAATTGCCGCAAGGTCTGCGAGTGCCCGACAAGGATCTCCTCCTCGATCAGCGCATCGTCCAACAAGTTCGGGACGAACTCCAAGCCGAGCTGGACGATGTCCGTGAGGATCTCGCTTATGATTTAGAGTTTGCCCATGTTGGACACACAAAGCTCTACAATAATTTCCTTAAGAAACTGGATCATGTGCCATATACTGTCACGCCCCTTTGGTGAGTCCAAAGTGAGTCCGAGACTGTTTGGCTAAATATTTAATCTTGTGTCTTTTGTAGTGCTAGAATTGAGCCGTTGTCCACTTTTCGTCTGGAGACGCTTGGCGAGGAATTTCAGCAAATCAAACGAGATATTGAGGAACGCCTCAAAATGGAGCACGATATGCGGTGAGTTCTTATTTTTCCGTATATTTTCTATATATTTTGTGATTCTTGAAACCATAATCTGTACAACTAAATATATATATACTCGTATTCTATATGTTTTATCATCCCACACAAACACAAGCAGCAGAGAGATCGATGAGCTTGTGCCAGACAAGCCGGAAGTGTAAGAGATATCAATTATATATATATATATATATAATCTTTGTATATATTATATTTATATAATAATTAACGAAGATTAATTGCACCTATTTATAATCCTATTTATTCACCATGCTTATTGTTCCCAAAAACCTGCTAATCTTTCATTTAATGCTATTATTCTCATCTGGAACAACTATATATATAATCGTACATATAGTAAATTTATAACTTTTGTTGTTTAATTCAAAACTTAACTGAATAATAATAATAAGCACAAGTTTCACCTAGTCGCACACACTCTCTCTCTCACGACGGGAGCAATCTATTCTTGCTCGGTTTTCATCATTAAAATGCCAAATTAATCTCTCTTTAAATATACAGTCTAACTGAAGTGGTTGTCAGTGATGAGAAGGAGGATTCGATTGGTAATCCGCCGGCGGAGACGTTCTTCTTTGGCCGTGATCCATCGAGTGTTACGCCCAAATTTAGCCGTAAAATGATGCGATTACTGACACGTTACCGGAACCGACAACTCTACGAGGTGAGACGGATTTTCGACTGGGAGAAATTGGAGCGACAGAAACCCGATCCGAACCGCAATCATCCCGATGACGATGCACAGATTGCAGCAGCTAAACGCAATCTGGGCGATTATAAACTGAAATCCGGATCCGAATACGAGCCGAAGAGCTCGGAAACCCTTACAGCCAAATACATTGAGATTGTGGAGTGTCGCGAGCGATACTTTGAAATGCTGGACTCGTACAATGTGCAGGTGATGATGTTGCGGGATCGCAAAAGGGAGCTCATGGAGTTCATCGAATCCAAGCGACAACGACTCGCAAGAATTCATCAATTTTTACCGGAAGCAAATCGCATACAGATGCGGCACATCAAAGATATCGATATGGAAACGGAATATCCCGAGCTGAATCTGATCGAGCACTTTGAGCCCGGCTGCGGTGTCAATGTCGATGATATACTCTACCTGGAGGCGAATGTTGAACAGTTAATCGCTGCGCGCAAAACAAAACTGACCCTGGATAGGATTAGTCTATACGAAATGGAGGCATTCGGCAATCCCGATCTTCAAGAGATGACCAAATACAAAGCACTACAAATTTCCAAGGTGGAAAGATCGCTGCCCGACGATGAAATGAGGGAGTTTATTGAAAGATTGCCCGCCACCAGTGATCCGGCGTATTTTGAATGCGATGCGGAGGGAAATGTGCCCATGATGCAAGAGGTGCGTCATCGTTGGCTCAGAGTGATGGTTGTGGAGCAACTACACATCATGGCCGAGATTGATGAGGAGATCCGCTTGTTTGATATGGCACTGGATAATATACAGATGCAGCGGTTCCAGGTGAAAATGGATTCGGAATTCCTCTCCTCGTTCATGATCAGTCTCGATCAGGAGCTGTATGTGCTGCGGGACAGCGAGGAGATCGAGACGCAGCTGCTCCAGAACGCCAAACAGGCGATGGGTATACGCAACGAAATGCAGATTGTGATCAATGCCACCAATCGCCAGTTGGAGGAACTCCGCAAGATCATCGATCGACTCAACGAACAAATTGGCCAGCTCCAGTTGAGTTTCATGAATTCGGTGAAGGGACATCGATTCTATGATTTCTTGCGCCGCATTTTCAAAAAGAAATGGCGTCCACCGAAGCGTGTCCATGGCGACGACGAGTCCTCGTCTTCGTCGTCGTCCTCCTCGTCGTCCAGTGAGGATGAGGCTGCCGATGCCCAGAGCATTGACTCGCTGGACATGACCACCATCCGGCTGGATGAGGCCACGTGTCCCATTGGCTTGGAACGCAGCCTTTACGAATGGACCTTCACTGTGCGCTCGGAGCGACACGAGCTGGAGCGCATCCTCACAGAGAGTCATCGCGATGTGGACCACAAGCGTCGCCAGATTGCCGAAATGCAAACCAAGATGAAGCACAACGAGGAGATCTATCAGCAGGAAAAGAATAAGCTGCTGGACTTTCGGGTAGGTCATTGGGGGAGAGTACTTTTGAGTTTGACTTTATAGAAAACCGCCCAAATGAAAATCTCACTAAAAACTGGAAAATTTTTCTTCCATTTTGCAAATAATTTCTAAACTGTATATTAATACATGTATTAATATCCATTCCCAGGGAAGGTCATGCCTTGAACCTAATAATACCAACAAGAAGTGTAAAAATGTATAATATATTATTATGTGACTTATATTGCAGCGCAACCGGCAGACGGAGATAAACAAGGTGCAGATAAGTACGGTGCTGCGCATGGATCAACTGCAGCATTTCCGCGAGGGTGAAAACTATCGGGATGTGTCCAATGCGATACTGTTCGATGCGGAAATACTGAGCGATCTACGCCGCCGTGCCGAGAAGCTGCACGAGGAGACGCTGGCCACAAGGCGGTGGCATCGCATCAACTTCATCCATCTGCGTCGCATGAACCGCGACATCAAATTCATGCGATTCGAGATCACCCGCCTGGAGGAGGAGATCAGGCAGGCGATGATGAAGCGCTTCGGCCTAATCATCAATCTCGATGAGCTCGAAGAGGAGGTGCTGCGTCGCTACATCTTTGACCTGGAGTCAACCGCCGAGGATGAGTTGCGAGCCCTCGAAAAGGAGCTCAAGGAGCGGCAGGTCAGTGTACAGAAATTCTGTTACTATACACTCAGAAAAAGAAGTGCATTTTAGTAATTCGCCAGGAGTAACTCACAAAGATCTTTCTAAAAAGCACAGTTTGTCTAGTTTCCTTGCATTTAGAAATTATTTCAAGCCTTTCTATTTATGAGAAAAATAATTTCTTATATTAAGTTGCCTCCAAAATGAATCCACTTTATCACTTTACATCACTCTGCCCCACCCAGATTGAATTATCCCGCTGCGAGGAGGAGCTGGTGCAGGTGACGCAAAACAACACGGAGAAGGTGAACATACAAACGGTGCTCCTCGAGCAGAAGAATATGCTGGATGTTATCCTCGATGTGCAGGAGCGCAACTATCACAAGTGGGCAAATCCCCAAGTGCTCAATCTGAGCTACGACATTGAGAAACTGATGGGCATCGACAGCCAGCTGCTGCAACAGATTGAGGTGGGTTTACAGCTCTACTCTCTCCCACATTACGCAGTCTAATCTCTAAACTGTCCCACCAGTGCTTGGAACGGGAGATTTGCACGCTGCGCCTGAAGGCGAAACCATTGCAGATTAACGAAACGGATGCGTTGCCTCGTGTGGCCAACAGTGAGCTGATGCCGGAGCAAGCGGAGACGGAGCTCTGTCCGGCCATACTCAATGTGGATGCGTATATGTTGCCACCCATGCCGGATGAGTTCATCATGGACCGTGTCCACACCATTGTCCAAAAGAGTTTCAATCATTTCCTTGGACGCCATACGACGCCGGAAAATGTGCGCAAATTTGCGCAAAGATCATCGCTATATTTATGCCAGGCCGCATATAGTTTCCAAGGACGCTATACGGACCGAATTGCCGAGTGTATAACGGAGCATCTGGAGACCATTGTGCCAAAGAAATATCTGATACACATCAGTGCGGAGGAGTTGCGTAAATTGTTCAATGAAGTCGTCGCCGTTTTCGATTATGAGCGATCCGATGTGAATACGGAGGATTTGATTTCGGGCATCTTTGAGCATGCCAAGGATGCGCTGTGTACTCGTGGCATCTGTGAGATCGTCAATCGCACTCAGTTTATTGTGTTGCACATGTTCAAGGAGTTGATTGAGGTGTTGCCGCTGGAGGAGTTCCAGGCGGAGGAGACGCTGCGCATCATTGTCGATGTGCTCGAACGTGAACCGATGACAGATCCGCGTGCCATCAATGTGGAGGATCTCATAGCGAGCACCCTGAAGCATGCCAAGGATAACCTGCTCGATGGGATTACGGCGCTGCCCATCCGTCAGCTGGGCAACAGCATCCAGAAGGAGTTGCTCAAGCGGCGCCAATTCAAGCCACCCAATTGCCAATCTCCGCTTGCGGTTCGCAGTGCCAGCAAGAAACAGGGCCCAAAAACTGGATTACCCTTTTAGTATTGAAATCTTAGAGCATCCTGCTCTAATTTTGGGTGCAAGTTTTCATCGGAGAATATTAACATTGATATTATTTGTAATTAAGATGTAATCTTTATGTAAAATACGATTAAACTCAATTTTCTTCGGGGCTAGTTAAACAGCAAGTTTAGACAGAGAAATAATATGTTTAGTGGCACAGACTATATATAAATATATATGTATATATATAAATATATAAATATAGATACAGATATATAGTCTATAGTCTTTGCTGCTAGATATACTCGCTCCGTCGAAGCTTTTTGTTTAATTATCTCGAATAACAGAATAAGAATTGGCATCATGATATATATACATATACTTATATGCTTTTCAATAATAGAAAATATTTAAATATAATGTTTTATTTGTGTAAGATTAATAGTCAGATTAAGCAATAATAATATAACGAGAATAAAGAATGCATAATTGGGCCAAGTCTGGGTTAAATATCAAACTGAATCTGAATATTCACTCCAAGCGCCGCTTGACTGTATTAATTTTGTATGGGAGCAGCTCGAGCATCTCGCGCACAACGCCAATCTCACCATGTAGCCGCTCGGCAGCCTCCTTGTGCTCCACACAGGATTCACTGAACCTTTTATAGTACAAAAGAGATTGATTCAGTTGCTCCAACTGCTGCTGGGGATGCGAACTGATCAGCTTGTAGTAGAGTCGCCCGATATGGAAATGGGCATAGAGCATGGTGCGCAACTCACCCACATCCATATTGGGTCGCCAGAGATCACCTGCATCCGGCTGCACCAAATACGATTTGACAAAGCACTCAAAATGTTTGATGGCCTTCCAACAGCTCTGATTGACCCGTTTGACATCCGCAGGTGTGGGAGATGACTGCGCCTTGATGGCATCGAGGCGTATGTCGAGGATAGCGGCATGTGCTGTGCCGGCCACATACCAACACTCGCGACAGATCTTCAGATAATGACCATGATCGAGCAGCTCCAGCAAATCCTCTAAATATTTGGCGCGTCGCTTTTGCATCTTGGCCTGATTCTCGGGCAGCTCCTCAAAGAAGGCAATGTGATCATAGGCTTCTGCATAATCCTGCATAATTCTGGCATACTCGGTGGCCTCCGACTCCGCCTTGTAGTAATCCTTGGCCACATCCAGCCACTCGCTGACAAAGTGAAAAACCAGCTTGGCATCGTCAAAGGTCAAACAATAATCGCAACTGATGCGATTCTCACAGGCAGCGAGATCGAGATCCAGAAAGCGATAATCCTCCTCAACGAGTTTTAGCTGCTTGGTGGCCTGGGCGAGATGCTCCTCTTCCTCCTCATCATCCCGCATCAGCCGCTCCTTGGACGACTGCAAGAGCAGCAAACCGTACTTGGCCCAGCAGCGTGCCACATCCGCATAGCGATGCTTAAATGTTTCGGCTACATCCGCCTGCTGCTGCTGACTCATCTGTGGCTGCAACATGTTTGCCTCGTGCTCGGCCATTATTAATGTGGCTGCAGCCAAAAGATGACGTGCTTCTTTAAAGCGCTCCTGGCCTATATAGTATTGGGAGAGTGTTGCCGTATTTAAAGCAAAGTCAATTGCTTCGTAGCATTTGTATTTGATCTGGCGATGCAAAGTGCGATGACAGCATTGAGCGGTTTTCTCTGGTTCCCCCACATGACCCCACATCTGAGCCAGGTAAAAGCAGCAGAGTGTGTACAGATTCTCTAGTTCCTTGCTGCCAGTGGCAGCTGCAGTCAACTCCACATCCTCCGAGACTGGATTAAATAGATCAAACATGGTCATTGGCAGCTCTCCTCCAGCCTGAAACTCTTCGTAATTCTGCTCCGCCTGCAGCAGCAGCTCCAGCGCCTTTTTGTACTCCAGCCTGGCGGCATAGACAATGCTCAGCTCGTTGATGGCGCCCACATAGGCAATGATGCACTGCGGCCGTTGTTTGCGCTCCTCCACCAACTCCAAGCAACGCTTTAGTATCTTTTCCCCATCGATCGATTCCTCGGTGTAGATGTGAATGCGACCCAAGTCCCGGCAAATAAAACCCAACATTGATTGATAGGCAAATTCATCATGACTGCCCTCATCTTCGCTGGCTCGTATCGAGATCAGTTGGTCCTCCAGCTGCTTCTTTAAATCGTGGAGAATATCGCGCGCTTTGTAATGGGATCGATAGGGGTCGGTTGGGGGATCGCTGCGACTGTCCTGCTCGATCAGTGCGTTCGCCTTCTCGTACAGCTCCCGGTAGTCGCTGAGCACCTCTTTAGGTATTACCATTTTTAATTTCGCAATTTTTCACAATTTTTCGTTCTAGTTTTGAGCTATTATTTTCTTCAACTTCAATTGTTTAGCAGGCTGGTCGATAAGATATCAGATGTTTCACATGGCAAAAGACATCGGTTCATAGCGGCGGTGGGTCGATTTCTTATATGCTCACCTGCTGGTCACCCTTCTAATATTTATCGAATACAGTGTCGATATTTGTTGACACTTATTAGCAGTTATTATTTCTAAATCTTCGTCTGTTTATCCATCTAAATTGCAGAGGTGTGCCGATGGGTTATAAGGTGACCAGCTGCTCACATTGCAATGAAAATCGATACATCGAATACAGTGTCGATATTTCTTTCGGTATTTTACATTTTTGTTTAGTTTTGTGTCATTATTTCGCTATATTCATTTGTTTAGTTAGCTGGTCACATTCCTAAACTGACATCAAACTGTATCGAATACATTATAAATGCAGCTATTAAAATGCGGTGGTCGGTCGATAAGTCAACCAGCTGGTCACATTGCTAGCACAATCGATATATCGCATATATTATTGATATTCTCTAGCAACTTGTTAGCACTACCAACGCGATTTTCCATTAAAGAAAGAATTTGTAAACAAGAAAAAGTAAACAAATAAAAATTAATGGCATCAGAGGGCGAGGAAATGGACATGACGCCAGTAGAAAGTGAAGTTTCTGCAACAGAAACGGACACAGAAGCAGAGGACTGCAGCGTGGAATCAGACGCAGAGAGTATTGAAGTGGAAACTGTGCCAATTTCCACAGAAGAAGCAGAAATGGAGGAGCTGCTGGGACAACTGGAGGATTACACGCCTACAGTGCCAGATGCACTCACGATGCGCATTTTGCATAGCGTAAGTTAATCTCGACACTCAGCTAACAATATTCATCATTTATTTATATTTATTGCCAGTCTGGTTTTGCGTCTGTTGATCCACGAATTGTGCGCATTATTTCGGTGTCTGCCCAAAAATTCATTTCGGATATTGCCAACGATGCTTTGCAACACTGCAAAACGCGTACAACAAATATTCAACACTCAAGCGGTCATAGTTCCAACAAGGTAAACAAATTTATTGAGTTCCTATTAAATTTATTAATTTAGTTTTATATTTGCAGGACAAAAAGAACCCGAAGGATCGCAAATACACCTTGGCTATGGAGGATTTGGTTCCAGCCTTAGCTGATCATGGCATAACAATGCGAAAGCCCCAATATTTCGTTTAAAATTAATACAAAATTAAAATTTATTTAAAATAAAAGTAAATGTAAGAGTACTTATTTTCATACGAGTACAATTAGTTACAGCTATCGGTTACTTGACTGTGGCACGCTATCGAAATCAAACAAGTTGATGAGTACTATCGATTGTGCAAACAGCTGTTCAGTAACAAGAAGCAGCACAAAATGGGAGTGTTTTCATTGAGAGTGCAATTTTATTTTTTTATCCCATAAGTGCAAAATACACGCAATTAACTGCTGAAAAGAAGTTAAAACAACTTGCTAACGTTGCGCGGGCTGAATACTTATAACGGCAGTGACGTCACATCAATGAAAGCGTGCGAAAAAAGCAAACGAAAATTGGGACAACGACGACAAAGTGGGAAAAATCGAAATTTGTGCGCGAGTGTGTGTGAGTGTATAATTTCAAACAAAAGCAAATATCAAATGCAATACATATAATAATTATATATATATATATATATATATATATAATATGTAAATTATTTTGCCAATAATTGCAAAAATGTTACGCAGCAAGAATCGAATAATCGATAATTGAATAAACGAAAAGTAAACAAAACCCCCCACCCGCCCCCTCTAAGCAAATCACAAAATGGATCTGGAAGAGACGAGCGACACTGGATTTCCGGCACTTGGCTTTCCAGAAGTGGGCACCTGGAATCGCACACATAATGTGCCGCTGGAAAACATGAAAATCGATGCGCCAATGGTAAATATGCATCTACATGTATATATGTATGTGTGTGTGCGTGCATATGCACTTTGAGTGAGCGAGAGTGAATCAGCCGAGGACAGCTTTATCATTCATACAGCGAACGTCGCCTAATCTGCTGTTTCTTGCCTGCTTCCTCTTCAATAGCCAGTCATAGTCACAGTTAATTGAAGCGATCGTCGCCATAATTCTTGTGTCTTATCAATCACTGGCCATTGGCACACTATACACTATACACTATACACTTTCAATACTGCTCAACATTGTTGCTGATAACAGAGTTGACAACAGTTTAACCCATTTCAACATTTAAAAATGGTTTAAGTTGATGAATCTTTTTAATTTATTTTTCTTTTACCAATTGTAATAACTCCACTGAATCGTAGAAAAATAAGAAAAAAATATTCAACACAATAATAAATGACATTTTTCCTCGATGGAAATGTAAAAATATGAAGAGAGTTTATTATAGCAATATAAAATAACCGTAACTCTCCTTGAAAAGAAAAATTGGGCGTAGAATTTCCACATTTTGGCAGACCCCATTCAAATTTCTGACAGTTGAGGGGCTTGGAGGGAATTTTGAGTGTCATTTCTTACGAATATATTTATCGGACAGCCTTTGTTTTTATCGTGTTAAAACAGAAGTTCAAAATTTTAATATTGTACGTACTATATATCTTTGATCTCTTTACGAGAGAATCTACAACACGACGACATATAATAATAATAATTACAATTCGTTTAGATCGATTTTCTGCATCTGTTATCTAAAATTTTGGTTTTTCCCCCCCCAATTATAATATATATATATACTATATAATAATGCTAAAATTTAGAGTCATAATGCGTTGCGTGAAGGATTTGAGAAGTCGTCGCTGCAGTAGCAGCAGCAGCAGCCTGCCCAATTTCATCATGGTAGACGAGAAGGACGAGGATGACATGGATCATGATGCGGATGATGATGGTTTCGGGTTGGACAACATGCATTCGTCATATTCAATATTGGATAATCGTTGCTCCGATTTGTTCTATATGCCACAGGCCGTTGGGCCCGCCTACCAGAATCTCTTCACCACCGTCGATCAATTTGATTTCAGTAAATATCAAAAATCCTTGGCCTGGCACAGCATCAAACCAATCCGGGCCCAAGTTGTGCGTTGCCCCAAACTGCTGTTGTCGCATTTGAAGTGTCATTTTTTTATACCATGTTCCAAGTTGCGGCATCCATCGAATTTTAGCATTTTTAATTTGTACTTTGACTGCGATGTGAATAGCGCCGTCAAAGCTTTCGTCCTGATCGCCTCCCAATATTCCGTTGACTTCATGCAAGACGGTTATTGGTCGGATTTTGTCAATCCGTTTACGGGTCGTGCCTATTTGCAACCTGCTGCAGCATCCAACTGCCAGCGGCAGCAGCAGCCGCAGAAGGTTCATCATCATTCGCGGTATTGGCGCTTCCTGGGCCACAATATGCAATTCAGGGATATCAACGGTTGCACCATCATCAATGAGGCCACAACATGCACCTTCTCCGGCTCCATTTTCAGTGATGTGCCAGTCGATCATTTTGACTAATCCGTGAATCATGTATTCCACATCCTCTTTTGTTTTAATCATATTCTTTTCATCATAAAATGTTGATTGTCTGCCGATATCCAAGTCGTTTTCAACTTTTTTTCTATACTGTACTGTGTGTGCTTGTGTGGGTGAATCGATTGCCCAATAAATCGAAATATATGGGTAAACTTTACTAATCTCAGGTTATTCCAAGACGATTGTTCAGTTTTTTTCTTCTTCAAATTATAATATTGGAAAGCGAAAGCTGTTGTTCCTAGGAAGTTTTATGGATTCACATTTAATTAAAGTATATAAAAGCCATAGCAATACATATATAAAAATATAACTGATATTTTGCTGTATTTAATAATGTCTATAATAAATTTCACATAAAATTATATATGTATGTTTACAACATTATAACATACGAGTATATATTTTTATAAGCACAAAGAAATATTCATAAAAGTTGCTGATTTATTTCCTCATGAATCAAACAGTTTATATCATTATCTAAAACAGTTATTCAAGATTTCTGATTAATGAAATGAATACCGAGAATGCCATTAAACACTGTAAATAACAATGAGCAACACGGAGTAAATAAAAAATAAAATATTTGTACATATTTCTAATCTGGGAACTCATTAAAAATGTGAAAATGGTTGTTAAAAAGTGAGTAACAGGCAGATGGAAGCATCTACGACCCCATAAGACATATATGTTCATGAACAAATTCAACTGCCGGAAATAAATAATAAAAGAAATAAAATCTTATTGATCAACTTTATAAGTTACATTAAAAAACTCAGATTCTGTTAAGGAAAACCCATTTTCATATTGGAAAACTACCTGAATACCAAGCAAGATTTGAACTGTTGGGTACAGGGTATCTTTAAGTCTAGCTTTCTCGTTCAGAGCTAACTCTAACCAACAATTTTATTTGTGATAACTTCAAGTCTCGCTCTCTCCACAAGCGCATTCCACCTTTAGTTTTACTGCCAAACCTATAAAAAATATGATATAATGTTAAAGATCAACCTGCTGTGCTCTTTATAGATATGGCTGCTGTGCTCGCTGCTGACAACGATCACATGGGTGACCTACAACACCTTTTACAACTCGCGTGTAATCGGAATGCTCATCACAAAGATTGCCAATCGTTGGTTCATCAAAGGTGCTTACTTCAAGATTGGTTCTGTGGCATTGAATCCGTTGGCCGGCAAGATAATGTTCCGGGATTTTGTGTACATCACCTACGATTATACGATGCGGGTGCAGGATGGCTATTTCATATTCCGCTGGTGGCGTTCCTATGTGCCCAAGGATGTCTCCGAGGGTTAGTTTGATTTATGCATTAAAATTCAAATGAACTTTAATAATTCCCTTGCTTTACAGATCTCTCCCATTCGGATACGCGTTTGTCTGTTCAGCTAAATGGCTATGAGTTGCATATCTATAATCGCTCCGATTTGTACGATAAGTTGGAGAAGACTTTCGGGCTGGAGCCATCGCTGCTGATACCCACCGATGTGGTTAGCAACGAGGAGCGCAACAAGCTCAAGGAGCACAACATGAACGTGGAAAATGCCCGTCAAAGTAAACGTGTCAATAGCGTTAAGAATTCGGAGGCAATGCAGGCGACCACCTGGCGAGATTTAATACCCGTCATCAAGATTGATATTAGTTCGGGTCGCTTTGTTTTTGGCAATCGTCTGACGCCGACGACACTCTCCATTTCCGTGGAGGAAGCTCATTGCACGTACAGCACAAAGCCCGCCAATTGTCGTCTCGATCATTTCATGCACTTTGTCAAGGCGAAGGTGGAGAATGCCAAGGTGCTCTTCTGTCCCAGCCCAAAATACACCGGTTTGATTGATGAACCACCTCGCTATATGGGCGAGGGATTTGTGGTTATGATGTCCAATCAAATGGATCTATATTTCTATATGGATGAGCCGGGCTTGGTGCCGGAGCAGCCCGTACAAATTGAGTTGGCCAATGGTGATGTGGTGGAGCCATCGCCACCTGTTTGGGGCATTAATGCGCACTGCTTGAAGGGCACCGATTTTAGCTACGGTCCCTGGGCGGATAGACAGCGAGATCATTTGTATCGCTATTTCTATCCATCCGATTGGAAGGAGGCAGAAGTGACGCCCACACCACAGCCGGGCGAGCTGCGCAGCTATCAGTCGTTTGATGTGACGCTGTGCGTCTTGAATGAGGCCACCATCGATATACTCTTCTCCAAGGAGAAGGAGACGAATGCCATGCACATAACCGTTGGACCCGCCTCCTATGTGGAGGTCACCATACCCTGGATAACCCACATCGATGGATATACGTCCAAAATACAGGGACAACTCTTTCATGTGGAGGCCACCACATCGCTCCAGTATCGCAGCCTCGCCGAATTCGAATCCTTGGAGTACAAAGTGCGCATTCATTATCCGACCAAATGGAATGCACCACAGGATTGGAATATTTCGCTGGCTGGTTGTAAAACAACAGCTTATATTGTGTATAAGCACAAGTGCTTCTTCCAGGATCTCATCGAGGATTGGGCGAACAAGGCACGACCCGATATACTCAGCTTTGTGCCATACACCTGCAATTTCAATATACGCTTAAATGAATTTGAGATCCTTATGCTGTGCAACGAATACAATTGGATCGATTGCAGCAGCGCCAACCAGGAGAATAATCATTTGGGATTTTGCGGCGATGTTTTCGAGATGAGTTTCGCGCTGCCCTTTGATGATTTTCTGCCCAAGACTGTGACGCTCAAGTTTTGGATACATGGCGAGGGTCTCGACCTGAGCCTGTATGTGCCGGAGGTGTCTTCGGTGCGTCCCATTGTCCTAGCCATAGACGAGAACGCAAGACTGTTGACCCGCGAGGGCAAATTGATACGACGACCCGAACTGTATACGAAAAAATGGCGCAAGATTTGTCAGCGCAGCGCCGGTTGGATTGACTGTTGGGCGGTGCCCATTTTAGCTTTGTCCATTCAATATGTATATCATCCAGTGCCGCCGCTGGGACCAGATCCTCAGGCGGATATTACCACGCCGGAGAAGGAGGAGATTTTACTGAGCCCCATGCGCATACCCAAGGTGCGTAAATCTCCCGTGAGCAGCAGCTGGCAGCAATCGGAGCAACAGAAATTCGATCCGGGCACTTTGGCAGCGGATCATGTCACCGTCGAGGTGGAAATCGGCAGCTCTGTGCTGATGGCCTACGGCAATGTTTTGCGGAATTTCATCAACCTCAAAGAGAACATCTTCGGTGAGGATCAAAGCTTTACGGATATGGAACAATCGAATGTTAGCCTGAAGGAGACGGGTGCACCGAACAATCCCAAGGATCAATTGTTGGCCAAGGAGAAGGAGTTGGCCAACAAATCCATATCAGAGACAACGGCACCGGAGGAGAAACGTAAACCATTCGATCCACGACTGTATCGTCCGCTGGAAGTGATGGTCTCGGTGATTGTGCATGATATCCAGGCGCATGTGATGAAGAACTGCAATCCCGATGATCCACCGTGTCCGGTGGTGTTAATCGAACGCTTTGGCTTCGAGATGAACAAACGGTATACGGAGACAACGTTGCAGGTGCTGGTGAGTCCCGCCTATCTGCTCACCTCGGATTCGCTGCAGCGCCAGCAACGCGAGCAGCACATCCAACAGGGTCACCTGCTGCTCTCGGCGGTGCAGGTGCGCGGCCATGCAATGTTCAGCAATGAGGGTTGTGCTCTGGATGAGGATACACTCGAATATTCCTGGCTCGTCGAGGTGCAACTGGGCAAGTTGACAGGGAAATTGACGTTGCCACAGCTGGTGAATGTTGTCACTGGCTTGGAGACCCTTGTGCTGCTCGCCATCGATCCTGAGAACTGCCTGAAGTCACCAAAAACGGTGCGCAATTGTCATCATGGTGTGCCCAGCAATCTCTGTCCGCACACCAAGGAGGAGAACAAATACAAATGTCCCTCGGCCGAGGATATTAAGTACAAAATGACTCGTGTCTCTGTGGATGCCGTCGATGTTTATCTCATTGAGAGCGGCACAGCGTTGCACGCTTGGATCTCACCCATTCGACTGGCCAATTGTAATCTGCACGGGCAGCGCGTCAAATCGGGCATCTCGGGTCTGCTGCCCTCCATCTTGTTGCGACTGTTTATGTTGCACGCTGGGAATGTGCCCAATAGCGCTTTTAATACCAACACCACGGGCAGTAATCGATCGGGCAAGCTGCGTCGCGCCGATCAGGATTCGTTGAAGTCCAGTCAGGATGTGCCCAACAGCAGTGCACATTTCGGTCACAAGTCCGGCAAGCGTAGCTCGAATTCCTTTTCGCAGCGTCGCGATTCACGCGAGGATCGCCGATGCTTCACTGATGCTCATGGCCCCAAACGCACCCCGGAAACGGCGGAGCTCAGCGAGAACTGGGTCGAGGTTGGCTGCACCTCGTTGGGACCCATTCTGCTGGAGGGTGCCTCCGCTCTGCCCATACCCGATCACGAACTGCATCTCGTGCAGCACAAGTAAGCAGCTTTCATTTAGCAGCTTGGCTTAAATTAATTTTCTTTTCTTTTTTCTTAGTTTTCTGCGCGAACATGATGCGAAATTTAAACGTTTGTGGTTTCTGTGGTCCAACAATGGCAACGCAATCAGCTCCGCGTCGGAGACATCGCGTTGCGGCTGCATCGGTGGCTGCGTCTTCTTTGGCAGCAATCGCAACGGGCAAAAGTTCTTCAAGCCCACCGCTCAGGATGTCCATGACAATTATAATATTGCACGCTATTTGTGAGTCTTTTTTTAGCAGTCGATTTCAATGCTGTCATCTCCTTATTGCTTGTTAAAGTAGGTGGCGGGGTCTACTCTGAACAGTTGTAGACAACCGCCTCAGCCCAACCTAAGCTAATCCATCCAACATTTCTATCGCTTGCAGCATCATCAACAACAACAAGGACTTTGGCTTTGGCGAGAGTATTTTGCATCAGGGTCAGTTGGTCTTCCACACGCCGCCGTACAGTCTGCACTGTGTCTCGTTGCACGACGCCGCGGACTTCAATGGCAAGGGCAAGTTGTATCGACCCGCTGTCGAGTTGCGCAATGGCAGCTTGAAGAAATCGGAGCACTGTTCACTGCCAGATGGTGCTAAGTTTAAAATTGGCGGTGGTGTTGTGGACAAACCAGAGTTGAGCAGCAGTCGCCACAAATCGCGGGAGAGCATTGGTTCGCCAAATACACTGGAGCGACGCAGCAAGCGATATACGTGCACCAGGCAGACCTCGGTAGAGGTGCCCTACGCACGACTGCTGGACAGTCCCTCCAAGAAGCTGCAGTTGCAGCAGCAGCAACATGACTGCACCGTGGAGGTGGCCAATGCTGCCGCTAGCATACCAAGACGTGGCTCGGATTCGCACAGATTACGCGTCTCGCCGCCAAAGACAAGCATCTCGGACTCCAGACTGACCGGCGAGGCGGCGCTCGACGATGAGCACGAGGTGAGCAGTGGAATTGTAGTCCAGTCTTGGCTAGATATTAATTTTGTATACTCCCACACAGATGCCCGATGAGATGTCGCATTCTGCGCCGCACTCACATCCATTGGAATTTGAGATCGCTGACATTGCGCTGCATGTGGGGGAACAGTTGCCGCGCGAGGTACAGCGCACCATATCGCTGACCTCGGAGAATCCCTCCGAGATGTTCTTCTCCGCCGAGGAGGATATCTCGAATGTGATGTCGCAGCGCGGCTCCATGAAGCAGCGCAACGGCAATGGTTCAATCATTTTATCCGGCCGCAAACGTTTCTCCTCCGATCTGAGGTTAGTGCTCCTACCTCATCCTTATAATTCAGTTCAGTTCAGTTTTATGAAGTCGTTCTTATCTTTGCAGCATTGGTGCTCAGAATGAGAATAGCAGCCACACTCTGCCCACTTATCGCAGCGATCTGGAGATCCATGCGCCGGAGAACAACAAAACTTTGCCCAAGCGGCCGCAGAGCACCACAGAATTGGTAAAAAGAGTAATGCGAATAATTGTGCAAAACACTTTTTTAGTGCTTTATGTTAGGTCTCTCACTATGTTATGTACTATGTATATCCTATATCTATATATTATAATATATATATATACCAAAAGCTTTACTGCTTTCGAGGCTCCTGTTCAATTTTCACTTTCACCCAAAAACGAAAACATTGTTCCACAGTTCTTTCGCAGAGCTGCCATTTAATGCATGTTTCCTTCAAGTATATCTATAAGATTTCTATCTCTCTATCTCTTGCTCTCTATACTATAACTGTTATCTCTGCTATATTTATATAAAAAAATCCACACCTAAATCTATTCCTCTCCACGAAAAACTGAAACTGTTTGATTCATCCAAAAACGAAATCTAAACCAAACCGTTAAAAAATAACAAAAAATAAAAAACAAAAAAAACAACCGTAAAACTCATCCAGAATGAAGACGCGAGACGCATTCACGGTCTTGCCACACCAATAAGAAAATTAACAAATATCTCATCACGACCCGAGTACCGACACTTTGTTCACGACGTGAGTAGTTCTTAGAAAAACCGCAAAACCAAAGTATAAATACAAAAAAAAAAAACTCCTACTAAAACTAAATCTTTAACTAACACGTAGCTCTACTCAAATTGAACCTTTCTTTATTTAGCAAATCTTTATGTATAACCTAATTTAAATATCGAGTATAGTTTTCGTATCTCTATCTATAACAAATAAGAAAGCACAGGAAAATAAAATACCCTTGCAGGCAGTTTTAAAATCAATTCAAAATATTATTATATATATATTTATTTTATATACATTTTATTTTAAATATTATATTTATTATAAGATCAGAATCAGTATAATTTTAAATTTAACTTAATATTATTTATATTTGGAACATTGATATCAAATTTAAAATATAAAATAAATTAATATTTAAGTAACATTTATAATTATAAATTCATTTATTTCTTATTTTGCTCTAACAACCTCTGCAAGGGTATAGAAAAATTTGTGTGCATGTCCACAATTCTGCATGCAACTTAGAGTTAGTCTAAGTCTAATGATTTCTAGTCTAGTTTTAAGAACTCGTCGAATTTACGTGTTTAATGCACTTTTTCATTGCCAATCAACAAAAAGGAAAGAATAACTTTTCTGCTTGCTTGCGCCACTTGGTCTGACTAAATTTCTATTTGATTTGTAGCCGTTGCAATTGAAATTGAATTGTTCAAAATTTCTAATTCTATTTTTACACACTGCTCTGCATTTCACAGGCTGATTCGCGTGGCTCGTCATCGGGCACTCCATCGTTGTCCTCCAACTCGTTCATCTCGGCGATGTCGTCGCAGGAGGATGTTGCTTTGGTCAACTTGCATCAGCAGGTCAATCGACCCATTATCGATTCACCGCTTCTCATGGCCAGCTATTTGAATCACTTGTCGCAGGTGAAATGCTTCAATTGGAATGGTTGCTCCTTTCCCCTCGGACCGGATGTGTTCTCCACGCCGCTCTTCCACGAGAACGAGGACGGTGGCCTAACCTATATTGGCAGCAAAATGTTGCCCCACTTCGATTTGTATTCGTGCTGGCGTGAGATTAAAGTTGTGCCACGCTATGAGAATAGCACTGGTAGCAACAGTTCGGCCACTTTTCTGGGTGGTCCCAAATCACATCCCTGGGATCCGAGTGTACTGCTCAAGGAGGAGGAATCGGATAAGACCACCAACGGTTTCGACGATGGCGAGTTCATGAGTCTCCAAGCGGAGGGCGGTGCTGCCTGTACCTCGGTGGTGGCCAGACTCAAAGGCCAGCTGAATGTGTTCCTCACCCCCCTGCTGTTGGAGGGCCTGCAGCGGTGAGTAAAAAGTACAGGGTATCAAAAATACACCTCTACAGAGCTATTTTATTTGATTGAATTATAATTTTGTAGAGAAGTTTATAGCTCATAAACGAAGATTTCTCCTAACCCATAAAATATATGTATTCTTGATCAGTTTCACTAGCCAAGTCGATCTTCAATTGAAGCTGAAGATTAGATCGAATAACTATATCATATTGCTTAGCTGCATGAGCAACATCTTTGTTTATAAAAATATCCAAACCAAACCAATTAGATTCATCAGATTTACATTTAAAGCAATCTCTTAATTGTTACATTGAGATGTTTATTTGAATTAGTCCTATAAAATATATATTCACACACACGCACACAAACACACACACACACACACGATACACACGGCACACATACACATTTAAAGTATTGTGAACTAAAAACAAATGGAAAGAATTTAACTACGTTTGACACGCAAATGGGAGCGTTTCGCCTGCCTGATGGCCACATTCAGATTGCTCTGGCTGTTGAGCTGGTCTCGCGGAAACGAGTCCATCAGCTTCTTCAGATAGCTCTCGTTGGGATTCTACAAGAACTTGGCGAGTTATTTGACTGCAATCCCAAAAGCAAACCCAAACTTACCTCGGGTGCATCGTCAGTTTGTTTGTTGTCGCGTTTGATGCGTTTGCCGGATTCGAGTTGATACTGGTTGGGATTGTTGTTGTTGTGTTCGTTGTTGGAGTGCTGCTGCTGCTGTTGATAGTTGTCATAGTTGAGCAACTCGCTGTGCTCCTTGTCCGCCTGCAACAGTTGCTCGCCCAGCTCATGCTCGCTGCTGATGTAGCCACCATGCTCCGTTTCGATGCGATAGCGAACCGGTTCGCGTTCATTATTTGCAATAAAACTGCAAAATTCAACAGTAACTGGCACATCGTGTGTGGAGATTTTTTTTGGTTTTGGTTTTGTGTGTGGTTTGGGTTACTTGTGTGTGCTGTATTTATTTATATGCGGCCAACCTGTCGCCATCGTTGGCCAGCGGCAACGATTCAGCCGCTTCAAGCTCATCAGCTGCGGCCGGCGCCGCATTCTGTTGCACATCCTCATCCAGCGAGGAACTCTCCTGCTCTGTCTCAGTCTCAGCTGCCTGCTGCAGCTGCAGCTGCTGCAGTTGCTGCTGTTCCTCCCGAGCCACACGTGCCAACTGCTGACGTTCATAGGCCTCCGCTTGCTGGCGCTCCTCTTCACTCTCCTGTGGCTGTCCATCATCCTCGGCCACCATTTTGTCCTCCGACCAAGAGTTGAACACATCCGGAGCAGCATCTTTGCTGATCCAACTGTCCAGTTGTTTGGGCAACTTCAACGATTCCTCACGTTGTGCTTGGGCTGCGAGCTGCTCCAGACTATCCAGCGAATTGGGCGAATTCTGATTCAATGATATATCCGCAAAATCATGCAAAATCGGTCGCTGCTTGTAACGCTGCTGACGCTGCAGACACATTGTATCCTCCGGATCACATTCCTCGTCATCCTCGTACTTCTGCTTGGCACCGGCGGAGGAGGAGCTGCCCTTGTTATTCTCCACATTGAGATCGAGAAAACCGTCCATGGATTTGCACGACGTCGTTGTACATCTTCGTGTGGTGGACGTGCAACGTTTTGTGGTCGGTCGCTTTTTGCACTTGGGTGGCTGGTGCTGCTGCTGCTGTTCGGTGCATTGATCGGGTTCATCCTCATCGTGGCACGCATCACCATTATGCGAGCTTAGCGCTGGCTCCAAATCCTCTTCGAGCGATTCCATGTCATCGTAGGACTGCTGTTTCTTCGCCTGCCTATGATGACCTCTTAGGCTTGCTTGCTTTTAAAAAGGATGCATTTATTAATCGATCGTATTTATCTAGCAATTCTCTCTCTTGTCTTACACACCCTCTAAGTCAAATGGCCCATTGCCAGCGTCATCCAAGAGCTTGTTGAGTGCATTCAGATCATCCAGCGATAAACCATTGAGTGTAGATTCCACTTCGGCATCGCTTAGACCATTTGTCAGATCGCCAAAATCGGCTGAGTTGAGTTCAGCAACCTGTCCAGTTTTCACTTCTGCTTCCTGTCGCAATACTCAGCTTTAACTTAAGATTATTTAAGAGTATTTTTTATCTACCTACCACCGGGTATGCTGCCATTAAGGGCAGCAAGCACAACAGCAGTGTTACACGCAGTATCAGCATTTTTCTGGGAAAATCAGAGCACTTTAATTTGTATTTTACGTTTTGTCTAATGGCACGACAATGTTACACTCTTCACTGGCTTACTTGGATGCAATCAATTCGAATAAAGCAAACTGTGTGTGTCTAGAAGCAAAGAGACTGTGATTTCAAACTGGGACTTATTCAAGAATCAACGTGGTGAGTTTCCTTGATTTGTATAGCTACTCGAATTGCCCAACGCGTTGATTTTCTCGTCCTTCTCTCAGCATAAGTCGAATTGCTGCTCCTTAAGATTATGACTTCCCTGTTGGTCGCTTTAAGTTCTTCTCTCGCGGATCTAAACTTGTTTCTCGTGATTCTCTCGTTAGATATGGACTTAACTTAATTTACTTAATTACCTTGATTTTATTTGATTATCCAATTGATCAGCGCTCTGCTTCTGTCTTCATTCTTTCAACTTAACTCGAATGTCTTCTCTTTAAGATTATTGTTCCTTTGCGCTTTGGCACTTTTAGTACTTCATTCATTGCTCTTCTCATGCTTCTCTCTTCACTTTTATTTGATTTATTTAGCAATCTAATAAATATTTTTCCAATGTTTTTTGTTTTAGAATGGTTGAGGCAGCTGTGCCAACGATACAATCGATGCATCTGCTCTCTGTTGTCAATTTCATACACGCCTCGTGCATAGCCAAAGTGAAGAATGACAATATTCTGAAGCGTGATCAAAGCCTCAGCTACTGGTCACAGGTGCACTCGAATTCCAAGCGTTCGACAACCGAACGACATTTACAAGGACCCGGCGACTCATTTCTAAGCGATGTCTACGAGGAGAGCATATCGACAAAGACCCAGGGTCTGATTGTGTTGCCCAAGGTGAGCATCACCATGCTGCAATCATCCATTGTGGAGGAGATTATATCCGTGGCAGCACTGGACAATGTTCAGGTAAGTTGGAATTGTAAACCATCTCCAAGACTATTTTCATATTCAAGTAAATTTAATTCTACAGGATCTCAGCTGCGTTTCACTGCTCACTTTTTATATGGAGGGCATCTCCACCAAGTTTCATCTGGGCAAAACGACTCGTGCCTCCATGCATAATGTCTACATTCAACAGACAGTTCAATCGGGCAGCAGTCACAAGAAGGGCGGCATTATGAAGGGTACCCGAGCACTGTTGGCTCATCTCTCCTCGCAGACGCGACCCGACAATGTTCAAGGTGAACCCATACTCATTGAAACATCCGAGAAGCAGCTGGAAGAATTAGTTATAACACTCGATATTGGACGAGCGCATGCGCAGCTGCGTCGCCTCAAGACCGAGGGGCAATCGTGTGCACCCGAAACGCCAGTGATTGTCACAGCGATACCGGAGCACAAGAGCAAGGTTCTCTTCGAGTGCCTCAAGATGCCTGAGAGCACGGGCATCGAGAGCATCGGTTACATCATGTTCGAGTGTGGACTGGAAGGTGTTGGCGTTAAGATCGTCAAACGTTCACATTTCGAGAAATCGGAGAACAGCAAAGAGGAACTGGCCGAAATGACAGCTGGGGCAGAGGCAGCATCGACTGCTGCTGCTGCTGGTGGCTCCTTCAATCTCAACGAATTGGTTGGCGCGTCTGGCAATGCTGCAAGTGACGCTGCCACAACTGGAGATGCAACTGGCGCCACATCGAAAGCAGAGGCCGCCTGGCGTTTGATCACCAAGAAGCCACCGACACCCAAAACGCCCAAAGAAAAGTTCCAAAATGCGCTGGACAACATTATAGTCAGTGATAGCGGCACAGCTGCATCCAAACAGCCGCCGCCCGATGAGGATGTGGAGAAGGGAACTGGTGCAGCCAGCACGGCGCAGAGTGCAACAGGTGCAGGTGCAGCTGGTGCACAGAAATCGGGCGCTGCAACTGCTGCCAAGGATGGTGGCTACGACAAGGCTCTCTCCAATGTAAAAGGCACGGATAAAACCTCGTCCTGCGTCATCGAGTTGAAATCGGTGTGGTTCAATTTTGCGGCGCCTCCCTGTGTGCCCATCACACGTAAGATCGACTTGACGCGATTGGATTGGAATCTGCTGAGCACCGCCTCGCCAGCAATCACTGCCTGGATGAATCCCAGCAATCGGCTGGCCATTAAAATAGTCTCGCTGCTCAAAGTGTTGCACACACGGCAAACAGCTGTTGCTGCCTGCCTCATGGCCGATGCCATGGAAAACGAGAAGATTCAGCGCAATCCAAAGATAAAGAAGGTAGGTAGGAATGGAGAGTAAAGTCACAATGTTGTCAGATATCTAATATAAGCCATAAATAATCCCAATCTTTCTCGCTCTCACTTTCCCTCTCCTTTATAGAGTCGCTATGCGAATAATTACACGCTGTTGTCGAAGACGCTGCAGGAGGATCCCAGCTGTCAGCTGTGCTACATTATGCAGAAACTGGTGCTGGACGAGGGTGTTCAACGCATCGAGCAGATCTTCAAGCATGGCGAGGTGCCGCACCTGAATACGCTGCGACAGGTGAGCAATTCTTATAATATATAATAATATATATATATTTAAATGATGTATCCATTTCATACAGGGCATCATTGTGTTGAGTCGCCAGTGGAAGAACACCTTGTACAATCCAATATTGTTTGAGCATCAATATAAAAATAAATTGGCGCGACCGATAAATGTGACATTCTCGTTTCCGCAGAACGAGGAGGAGTGCGAGGCGGATGAGTGTGAAGGTGATGTTGAAATGGGCGCCTATGCGGGCGTCGGCGACCATCCGGAAGAGAGTGAGAATGCTTTATTACTTGGGCAAACACAGCATCATCGAACTCACATTGGTATTCCTTTGATTAACTCAGCTGCTCAACAACTACTGCAATTGCCCACGTCGGCATGCAGTCAACTCCTTTTTGTTATATAACTAATGATATGTGTATATGTATATATATATATGTATATATAGAAGTTTATTTTTGTGTGCATGCAAATCGTTGTGTTTATACAAGAAATGTCTTTTTAGAATATGTTAATTGAATTATATCAAAGGCATTTCTTGACTTGTTTTAAATGTTTCCTTTTTAAACTCTTGCAATTATCCTTATTTAATTTCCTGTTTTTCCTTTACTTCTGTTGCTCTTCCTGCAACTCTTGCAACTCTTACTTAATTTTTCTATTTTCCAACTCTTCTTATTTTATTTGTTGTATTTTCCGTTTTCTTTCTCATCTGATATTTATGTATATATATATATATATGCTTATGGAAGTTTATTTTTGACTAGATTTAAATATTTCTTCTTTACTTCTGATCCTTTTGCTACAACTCTATTTGATTTTATATTTTCCTCTTCTGCATTTATTATTATTTGATTTTATCTTTTCCAATTCTCTCAATTATCCTTTTTTGATTTTCTGTATTTTCTTTTATTTATTTATTTATTTTTATTATTTATTTCATATATTTTCTGTTCAAAATGCTTTAAGTGTTCACGACTTCATTTTGTTTGATGCTTTGCTTTTGCATTATGACTATACTATCCAACTATACTATCCAACCAAGTTCAGGATCTCAAATACTGTTGTGCAGTGTGCTAAATAATTGTATTCAAATTTATTTAAAACACTCACTTAAAGTTGTCTTGAATGATATTTAATTTGATTATTTTGCTCACTGCACTCAACGAAATTAAATCTTATGCTCCCAACATTTTGATTGATATACGCATCAATAAATTTGTGCCATAACTCAATACCTTTTATAACTTGCAACATTTAGATAATACACAATACGGTGGCATGTCCTATGCCCATGAGACTGCTCATCACGCACCCGGTTCGCAGAGATCAGCATCCACATCGCCCAATATACACCAGACACGTCGTGGGTAAGTTTTCACTTCGATTGGCTTGTGGCGACTTATTGCATGTCTCGCATATTAATGGCATGTGTTTTTACTTTCATACCCCGCTCCAACTATTCTCCATCCAAAATACATCCAACCTAAATGTGAACGTCTTGTTTTGTGCTTCTTAAGTCTGAGCAAAGTGCACAGCAAAGCCTCGAATTTCTCACATGGCAATTCGTCTCGTTCCAGCATACAAATGCTGCCCATTATCTCGAATCTGGTGGAGAAACAAGTGCCAGAATTTGGTGAGTGCTTGGCATACGTATAGCATATAGCTATATAAATTATTAATTAATTTTGTGGTTCTTAGAATACGGCGCATTGCAGGAGGGCTCGTTGAGCTCGACGAATTCGGTGAACAAGTTTTGGCTGGGCGCCGAGAATCACAAGGAGGATTTGTACTTCTGGATGGCTAAGCATCAGGACAACAACAAGAAGAAGGAGCATTCCGCTGAAAAGGAGCACGATGCCCAACCCGTGCCGCCCAAGCTGCCAGGACAGACGCACACACGCCGGGACATTATGCAGGACTCTATAAAGCTGCTCGATGCACATCTGATCTTTGAGCCATTGCTCACTTGTCTAGGTGTTATGCCACAGCAAATGATCAACAAGTTCTCAAATGCTGATATCTCATCGCTGGAGAACTTTGGCACAAATCTATCGCTAATTGGCACCTTTGATTCCATACGCGTGGATATTGTAGTCAGCGAGGCGGGCGATAAGAACAAGAACAGCAACAGCAGCAGCAGTAGCAGCAATACCAAACCCGCTTCCGCCGCCGCCAAGTTGAACAAGAAATCGAACGGAGCACGTGGCTCCATCATGATAGACACACCGCTCTTTCTGTGCGAACGCGTCGGAGTTGAGCTCGAGGTGCTCAAAATGTCCGATGGTATGGTGGATCAGGCACGCCAAAATGTCATCTATATGTCACGGCGTCAGCTCAAGAAGCACACGAGCACTGTGATCAATTTTAGTCTCAATGTGCGCTTCATTTCGCAGCAGGTGAATATGCCACTGCTGCGACTGCTCCATCAGATCTGCAACATGTATCAGAATGTCAAGGATGCGCAGAACGAGTTCCACGAACATCCCGAACTGAGCAAGAAGAGCCAGACCAAGGATGAGTGTAGCTTGGGTAAGTTGAGGATCCGGTTAGAACTAATCTAATAAGTCGCAATATCTATTTGAATTATATAATTTAATACTCTATTCATTTACAGCCTCCGAGCCAACGGATATGCTACCCTTCACCTCGATTGCGGAGCGTTTTGCTACCCACGGGGAGAGTTTCTCGGATGAGCGCTACGACAAGTTCAATGAGACGATGCCGATGCCATCAAATCGGCCACGTGGAAGTGCAATGGCGCCCATAATACAACTGACACCCTCGCCAAATGCCAAAAATCGACCGCAAAGTTTTGCTCAGAAGCTGCGATCGACGGGCAAATCCGTCAAAGGAAAGCTGGGCTACACCAATCTGAACGAGTCGAGTTCGTCACCGCTGCGAGACAGTCCAACGATGTCGCTGCACGAGCAGAACATGCTCAAGCTGACCACCGAGTCGAAGGCATCGTTGAATGGCGGCTGTGCGACCAGTGTTAGTGGAGATTACAACAACACACTGACCAAATCGGGCATGCCAACATTGCTGCCACCGTTGCTGGAGACGCCCAACTGCTGGAAGACCATCTATCATCTGCTGGAACTCTATGGCACCATGCCAGAGACTAAGACAGTGGTTCAGCGCAGTTCCCTCAACGAGCACAAGAAGCCAGCAACCAGTTTCAATAATAACGATGATGATGATGTGACAAATGCACCGACTCCTCTGCCCCAGCATCGTGAGATGAACTTGCTCGATGGCGTGCCGCAGGAGCGAACGCGTCTCATTGTCTTCGGAGTGGCCAAGATACACAAAACCCGATTGCTGGCGACTCTATCGGGCCTGAAGCTTGAGTCGGAGATCACCACGCTGAATAGCACGGCCACCTGGCGCAAGAAGGCCCGACCCGTTTCGCTGGAGTGCTCCCTCACTGGGCAAGTAGGACGCGCTATGATTGTCCTGCTCGAGGGCGTGGCGCCCAGTCAACAGTAAGTGTGATTATGTCCTGTGAAGATTAAACTCTGTTACCTGAGGTAGAAGATGCTGTGAAATTGATAAAAATTGATAATTGCAAAGGATAAAACACCCCTAAAAAAGCCGAAATGGCTTTATCGTCCACTAAAGTCACCAACTGGGTATATTACTCGTGGCCCCCTTCGAGTATTAATAAGATATGTATATATAAGATATATACGCTCACTCCTGTCCCCTTAAAATCTGAAATGCTTATATCTTCCAGAATATATCTTCAGTAATCAATAAAAATTTATGGTGAGAATCGATCAAATCATATATTTGTAGCTTACTAAGAACATCCATAAAAAATCGGTGTTTCTTGGCAGCTGTTATCAGCTAGTATTACTTATTGGTATCAGAGTATTTCACAGTTCTAACTTGCTTTCCATTTTAATTAAAATTTTAAATTTCATCCAACAGAACCGTTGTCAAGGTGACCGTAGGCAAGAGTCAGACACTCTACTCGAGCCTCTCGAAGCGCGGCAAGGACAAGAATAGTGGCCTGCTGTCCATTGGACCCGTTAACATAGACATTCCCCAGCATCCCGTGGCCTTGCATGGCATGATGACGCGCAGCTCCAAGCAATTGTCATCGACACTCCAAGAGTTGCGTGTCAAACGCAATTCAGGTCGTTCTACGCTGCGTTCGCATACGGCGGAGGAACCAGACTCTCCATTCCATGCACGCAACTCGGGCGGCACCAACAGCGGCGTGGGCACTGCCAGCGAGATGCGGGAACGCACCGTCTCCGGCGGAGCACAGCCGCAGCCCCAACTGGCGGCCCGACGTGCCGCACGCCTCGCCCAATCCAAGCCAGCAACAGCGATGCAACAGAATGGTTTGCTGCAGCCGCTCGTGATGCAATTCAATGTGCTGCTCCAGAGTCTGTCCATAAATGCAGCGCTGTTGCCATCTCTGCAGGCGCAGTATCGCATGAATCATGTCAGCTCCATGGGTGTCACCGGGCAGCGTGCCAAGTTTGTCATCGATCTGCCCACGCACACGCTGAGCTTCAATACCAAACTGCAGGTGAGTTGCTGTTGCAGTTGGATGCCATTTTGAACATTCAATTTGCCAGGTACCAAACGGCTTATGTTGGATTACTCAAAATAAAAGTCACTCATTAATTCTATCAAAGGGACTATTGTGTGCCAGTAGAAAATCTAAGAAGACACTTCCTTACTTACATTCCTCCAGGAATGGACAAAGACCTTCTATATGAGCTAAACTCAACTGTCTTTCCTCTTACTAGAACGAAATGAATTTGCCATCGGAGGCGTGCATTGGTTTGCCGCCGGTGCATGTGCTGGCCGAATATATACCGGACAATCGACAGGAGAATACGGAGAGCATTGAGGGCATTGTGCTGCGACAAGGTGGCTATGTGAATGCCAGCGCGGAGATTGGTGAATTCGAGCGTTGTCTGACCACCGATCTGCTGAATCATTTGGTATTTGTGCAGAAGGTTTTCATGCGCGAGATCAACGAAGTGCTGCAGAAGGTTTATGGTGGTGAGAAACCTGTGCCTCTCTGGACCGAGGATAGCGGGGATAATGCCAGTGTGCAGGAGTCGACACTGAAGCGCATCCTCTTCTCCATCAACATATCCATGAAACGCATCCAGTTGACAGCCACCACGCCCTGTTCGTCAGCGGTGCGATTCGAGACTGGCACTTTGGAGTTGCAGTTGTCGAATCGTGTCAAGAATTTGGGTGATTTGAGTAATCGCAAGCTGTTCTTCAAGGCGCACATCGATTTCAATTTGTCACTCGGTCAAATCATTAGGAATGTGATCTTTGATGAGGCGGAGCCGGAATTTCAGCAATATGCCTTTTTCCATACGACCATCGGTCTGCGTAACGCCTTCCAGGATGAGCTGCTCAATGAAGACAAGGAGCTCATATTGTTGACGCTAAAGCGTCCCCTGGTCTACGTACAGCCGATAGCCGTGGACAAGGCCATATTGGTCTGGCTGAACTATAAGAATGCCTACGAATATTGGGCGGAGAAGCGTGCGAATCTCTGCTATGATCATGCACCGAATGCCACCCAGCAGGTCTTTGACCGGGTCGCCTTTGGTCAAATAGCAAGCTCGAATTTATCTACGCTCTTTCTGCAACTAACCGTCGAGGATATGGGCATCTGTTTGCCCCTGAAACAAGTCAATACGGTGGTGAGTTTAATTTATTATTATACTCTGATACCAAAGGTGCAAAGGGGTATATTGATTTTGTGCTGTCGTAAGGATAGATAGAAAGATTACTTAGAAACTCCTGCAACATTTGTTGTCGATCACGCCCCATCTACAGATCGATATTATTCTATAGCCACCCTGTTCTTTGCTACCTGTTATCAGCTGGTATTAATCTTTGGTATCAGTGTATTTTGCACTTGTTTACTTTTATTTAGTATTTGATTTCCCATATCTACTCTCTGCAGCCTTATGGTTCTCGTTCGTATCAGGATTTTGATGCCAAGGGCGCCGTTGTCATCACGCTGGAGAACACAATAATCTCGGCTTGCAATTCGGGTTCGTTGGTGTCGAAGGGTAAATTTCAAGGACTTTGTCTGCGTTTTGCCGATGATTTTGAGACGAATCTGGACGACTGGAAGCCGAGCAGTGTGGAGCCCATTATGAATGTGTGCGTTGTCTCCGAGGGCACATTTGAGGTCTGCTCCCGCACCACGGCGGCCAAGAAGGGTGAGAATGCCAAGTGGCTGTTGAATGTCAAGTGGCAAATGGAGGGCGTCGACATCCATTTGGATGTGAACATTGGCAAACAGCTGTCATCACTGGGACACACGCTGACCATGCTCACCGGCTTCGAGGAGGACGATCAAACCCAGATGGAATCGCCTGACAGCGATGAGGGTGACCAGAGCAGCCGGGACACTTATGTGCGACGTCGCGGCGAATTTGATAATCTGCCAGCGTTTGTCTTTGATCCCACAATCGACTCCAAGAAGCGATCGTTCATGATGGAAAAGGAGATGGCCGAGCAGCTGAAGATCATCAACGACTTGCGCACGTTGGGCGCCTCCCACAATACGGTGGCGCACGAGGAGCGACGACTGCAGGAGCTGCAAGCTATTTGCTATAAATACTTTCGACGTGATATGATACAAAAGTGGAAACGGCCCTCCTTGCGTAGATCTCTCAAGAATTACAGTCGCTCCCATTCGTATATTGGCAGCGGTGTTGCTGGAGCAGCTGCTGGTAATGTGGTGTTGCCCGCTGGTGTTGCCAGTTTGCAACGCGAGTTGCCACTGGACAATGGCAGTCATAGCTATGCGGGACGACGTCTCGACACGATTGCCTCTAACGATGAGATCTCCAGTTTGCAGAGCACCCCCGCATCTTGTCATTCGCGCAGCGCTTCGCTCAAAACGGGCGTCAGTCGAGTGACTTTTACGGATGCCATGCGTCAAACGTCGTTGCCAAATGCGGACACCGATGCGGAGACGGCAGATAATGAATTGGATTGGCGTCAGGATTGTTGTACGCCCAGTGAAATGGATGTGGATGGCATCTCAGTGGAGATGCGACGCAAGCACGCCTATGCGCATGCCCAGAAACAGCAGCCAGAGCCGAACATCGACTTCGAACTGGATGTGAAAGTGCTGGTCAATTCGGGTAAGTGTGTGCTGCACACCAAGGAGAATCATGCGGGCGAGGAGAGTGCAGCCGGTGCCGCTGCAGCTGCAGCCGCCGCCTCCAGCGTGAAGACGCACAAACGAGAGCGCAGCATTGGCAATGATTGGGGCAGTCCAACTCCGTCGCGTCGACAGCGCGACAAAAGCAAGCTCAGGTTTAATGCGAGTGCCCATAATGCTCTGCTCGCAGATCTGACCATCTTTCACATACCCGGCTTGGATGTCAAGTTGCATTATCAATCGCGTACGCTGCCGGAACTCGGGCAGGAGTTGCCCACAACTCCAGCAGCAACAGCAACTGCAGCAGCAGCAGCAATTGCTGGTCGTCGCCTGGGCAACAAGCGTGCCACTTTGAGTGCCTGGATGACGCTGCAAAGCATACCCGAGGAGACAATCATCTCGCCGCACATCCTCGAGTTTCTCGAGCAGACACTCGAACCCATTCCGACCCGTCAGCAGGCGAATAGTATTCCCGTGACGCCCTCACATGCGACACCCGTCAATCTGGACATATTGCCGGCAAATTATGCCACCTATGCCTCGTTTCCCGTCGATGTCATCGTATATTTCCACATGCAACCATCCACGTTTAGATTTAGCTGTCTGCCCGTGTCGCGTGTGGAGTGCATGCTGCAACTGCCCAGCTTGGATATTGTGTTTAGCTCCAAGCGCAGCAGTGGCGAGGAGGAGCAGCAGCAGTCGCAAACCCACTCGCATGCAGATCAACAGCTGCCCACTGGTGGTCTGAGCGTCACTGGTTGCCTCGCCGATTTCAATGTGTACATCTTCCATCCTTATGGCGGCAAGAAGACCTCAAAGGAGACCCAATTCTCACCGCTGAGCGACAGCGAACGCAAAGATTCGCTCAGCATCAATGTGGAGTTTGTCAAGTTTCACATAACTCGCTGCAGGAAAGTCTACATTGAACCACTGCCCAGCTCGAAGAGGGCTCTAGATCAATCCAGGGCTGTCATACGCTTCTCCACAATTGTGGACATTGGCAGCGCCAGTTTCAAATACGATATGCGTCGCCTCACCGAGATTTTGGCCTTTCCCAAGGCCTGGTATCGTCGTCGCATTGTGCGGCGTCTCTTCCTTGGCGATCTCAGTGTTCATCAGCAACAGCAGCAGCAGCAGCAACAAGCGGGCGCTGAAACTCCAACGGGTTGTGCACCAACCACACCCACTCCGAGCGAGGGTCGCTCCAAGGATAAACTCCGGCTCGACTTTGAGCAACAATCGCAGCAACAATCGCACCAGCAACTTGGTCACTTTGGCGCCGTCCGCAAACTGAAATCATTGGGTAAATCCTCGAGTGCTGAATCTTCGGGCACTCCTCCCTCGGAGAAGAATCAGATTACAGCGTGGGAAACTCTTGTCATTTTTGCTGTCAACTTCACCAAGCTGAATGTGCAGATGAACATTGGCAACGTGTGCGGCAATGTGGTCTGGCTGACCAAGGATTTCCGGTCGGATGGCCGGCTGTCCATAGGCAGCACAGGCTATAAGAATATGTATGCGGGCATCTATTTGGGTGGCTCGGCACTGGATGCCAAGGGTGGCATTGTCGGCGGCAGTTTTGAGGTGAACAAGATCAACAAACGTTTCCACATCAAGGAGGAGTCCGGCATGGAGCCGTATCATACGCTGGGACTGAGCTTTATGGCGTTGGAGTTGCGTTTGGACTACATGGGCACCTCGGTGCTGATGACACGCATCAGCACCTTTGCCGCCGCCATGAAGGATGAGTGGCGCACCGCCACACAGGCGGCGGCCACCTGTGGCAAGGATCAACCGCGTGCGCTGATTTTCATACACGGTGATCTCAGCTGGGATCAGCTACAGATTATGATATCCAAATCGACGACAGCCGATTTAATGAAGATGTATTTTAAACTCGAGGAGTTCTTCACCCAGCAATTCAAGTCCTCCAAACGTGTCTTCTCCAGCTTGGAGCCACGTTTGCAGGATCGTTCGGCCAGCATTCGGCGTCGCCAGCAGCACAAGAAGAAGCCCAACGGAGAGTTGCCACAAGCAGCTGTTGCTGCCACGGCTGCCCCCAACTATTGTGGCGTGGACAATACGGATGCACGTCATCATCGCCACTGGCAGAAGCCGCTGGCGCAGGCCATTGGCTTGGTGGTGCCATCGCTGGTCACACGGCTGCCACGGCATGGCAACGTACTCGGCGGCACCGTTGAGCTGCGTGGCCAGAACATCTCCCTCGCCTGCTTCCATGGCATCAATTTCAAGTCCAAGGCTTGGGCGTTGTTCAGTCTCAAGTCGCCTTCGATTAATTTTGCCACCGAGGCGCGTCAGTTGGAGGACACCAGCGAGGTGCTCGTCTGTCAGACTTTGACCTCGAGTCTGGGCCAGACAGTCGAGGGACAGCAGCAACAGAATCATTCCATGGCCATCGTTAGTCGCATCACGCGTAATATTATCTTCCCGCCACAGTTCAAGACGCTTAATGAGTGGTTCCACTATGCCTTCGCCAACAGCGAGATCGATGGTGAGTCTATCCAGCAATTTTTAGTTCCAATCTAATTACGAATCTTCTTATATATTCCCTCTTACAGCTGTTGATCGCTTCCCGATGTTGGAGTGCGAGCGTGAGATTGCCTCCAATTCCATTGAGCGCACTCGTGCCTCGGGCAGCAGCAGTGCAGCCAAATCCCAGGAGCACAATCACAATCGCGAGGTCATCTTTGCACTGCCCAGTCTCCAGCTGCACTTCAAGACTGAGCACAAACAGGGGCCAACAACGCCAGAACCAACGGGTAAAAAAAAACACACAAAAAAAATCATGAAAACTCATTCGAAAACATTATTAAAATATTTGTTCTTTTTACTAGAAACGAAACCTGAAGTCTTGTGCAGTTTTATGACCGATTTTGATGATCATATATTTGTCACCGTCGATGCGGATGCTTTCTTCTTTCTGCATGATCTGATTACGTCCTATGTCACCGAAAAGGAGAAAGTGGTGCGTACTTCTTATATAACCATAAATGGAACTATTTGCAATCAATGCCTGGGTAGTAATTGGAGTTTTTGCAAATATCCCACAATAATGGAAAATGATTACTATTCGATTAATCTGAACAGCTTTCAATAAAGAAGACTCAATATAAAATCAAAATAAATACCTGCCAAAGAATTAGCTAAGGACTAAACAAATAAAATGAATATTTGTCAAATAAGTAGTTAATGACTAATAATTAATACCAGCTAGTATGCCATACAAACGTATCTTTATTCATTCAACTTAACCCTTTTGCAGATCGGAGCTCAATCGGCGCGTGCCGCCTCGCCAAATCTATCGCAAAAGACCAACCTGAAGCCATACCTAACAGATGAGATACTCAAGGAGAAGAAGAGCAACTCTAATACGAACTTGACTGTGCAGCAGGCCCAGAAGTTGAGCGGCAGCAAGAGCAGCCTGGAGCCGCTGCAGGGTAGCCACACAAATCTGGCCAACTCCACAAGCAATGCGGCAACAAATGCAACGACAACAACACCAAGCACGACGACAACAACAAACACAACAACAGTAACAAATACGACAACGGTAACAACAACTGCAACAACAGCAGCAACTCCGTCAACGACAACAAATCCAGCAACAGGTGATGTCAAAGATGGCAGTGCGCAGAGCAAGCCAGGAGCAGATGGAAATGCTCAGCTGCCCAGCTTTGATATTGAGTCCTTTGTACGGGATTGGCGCCACTTTGAGTGTCAGACGTGGCACCTGGAGCCGACAGTGCGTCTGCTTTCGTGGGCCGGTAAGTCCATTGAGCCATATGGCGTCGACTATATACTCAATAAGCTGGGCTTTAGCCACGCGCGCACCACAATACCCAAGTGGTTGCAGCGTGGTTTCATGGACCCACTGGACAAGGTGGAGGCTCTGATGATGCTCCAACTGTTGCTAATGGTGCGCGAAAATAAATCGGATGCGGGAAATGCCAAGCAGCAGCAACATCATCGACCAGCTCCAAAATAGGCCTGAAGCGGAAGAGAGCAATTCGAAAATGACAATTAAGAAATCTATCAATTAGCTTTAATCAGCAAATCAGCATTGTATAGCGATCTTTATAGCCCATTTAATACTTGTAATATCTGTGTGATTTGTGTAATTTATATATATATATACGTATGTCGAGTTCTTGAACATTTCTTATGTATTGTATAAGGAATAGTTTGATTGCGCTCCAAGTTCGTCGGCTTATTACTATTATTATAATTATTATTATTACTATTATTAATAACTAGCCAAATGGTCAGCTTTGTTAAATTGTAAATTGTTTGCTCGCGTTTTCCCCCTTTTGAATGTGTTTCATTTCGATCTAAGTATAAAATCAAGCGCATCGCGTAATTTGCTCAATTTTAGCGCTTTGTTAAACCTATTGTTTTTAAAACTGATTGTGCAGAGCCAATGTTTAAACTATAAGTAGCTCTAATTGATAAATATATCTATATATATATATGTATACACTTACTTACTATATTATTAAACGAAAACTGTATAAGTTTCTAAATAGGCAATAAAGTCAACTTTTAAAAGTGCATACTTACAACATACGATAAATCTTGTAATGTTTTTACTTTATAGGCACTTATAGAATGGCTACTTAAGTTATTGAGATTATTAATGATTATTTGACTTAATTGATGTTCTTTTTGGATGATTGTTTGACCTCCAATTTAATACTATATTCAAAGTTGAAAGGTAATTTTGCCTCGAATTCCATGTTAATTTTATATTTCCAAAAAATGGGAGGACTTTTTGATTATGGTTTCACCTCTAGAATAATACTACGTTTAAAGTTGAAAACGGGATAAAATTAAATTGACAAAAAGTGCTTCTAGGGACTTGTCCAAACATTCCTCAGCCACAACTTGGTCAAAATTGAACCGATTTTAAAAGACCAGGTCTTTTTGATCATGGCTCTGCCTCTCCAATAAAACATTTAAGTATTAAGAAATATTTATGTAAGAATTCTCGCCTATTCAATTTGTGGACTGCTGCTTGGATTAAAATGCTGAGTATAACTGAAAGTTTAGCAATTTGCTTGTCGCTCTGGCGAGTAAAGAGAAGTTTAAGTAATTCTGATAGTTTGTTGGATATTATTTGGGTAGCATATGGCTTGGGCATTTTAAAAAGCGATGGCTTTGAACAAAATTCTCGGTTAATTTTTGCCTGACTTTGCATTCCGTTTCAGTTCGAGTTTCTTTTCCATCCTCCCCTCTCCCCCACCCAGAGTCTTCCGAGCTTGCTTGAGTAAACTTTGCATCCGTTGCGTGTATCCGGTTTTGTTTTCGTTTTGTGCCGCTGCTTGAGCAGAGCGCAAATGTTGTTTTTTTATTTTTTGTTTCTTCGCTTTTTTAGCCTTTCAACTTTATGTATTTTTTCTTTTCCTTTTTATTTTTTGCCTGTCACAGTTCTTTATTTTGTGCGCCTGTGTCTCTCTGTAAACATTTCATTTTCATCAAGGTTGCGTTTTTAATTATTTTTCCTTTCTCTTGTCTCATGGCGCTTTTTTGTGCGCCCAGCTTCTTTTCTTTGCTTTTTTTTATTTTGCTTGGCATACTATTAGGCTCGGCCTGTTTCTACATCATTTTGTGCAGCAACTGAAGAAGAAACAACACAAAAAAGACATTGGGCGCTTTCTAAGAGAAAGTCGCCCATTTGATGAGCTTTTCACGCACTGTAGGCGCGCCCTGATAGTCATTGCATATAGGGGTACAAATGGGGATTGAGTTTGAGGGGGGTAACACCCTCGGGCAGGGTCACCCACACACAAAAGGCCATGAATGCGAGTGGTTTACTTTGGAGATTAGTTTATCTAAAGTTAATGAGGGTTAAAACTAATAGGCGAATGGCTTAATTTTTAATTATGAGACTTGGTTTCTCCCTTTTCAGTCCTTGTGTTTTCTGTTTCCCTTACATTTTTGTGGTTCGCTTCTTTATGTTTTTGTTTCATCTGGTTTTTTTTCCATTTTTTTTTGTTCACTTGTGTCTTGATGCTATGGCATTTAATTTTTGTCATTTTGGCACAGAGCCACCGGCAACATGCGGGCTTAAAAAATGGCATTTTAAAAGCGAAACAAATGCGGAGATTGGCTTTATTTTTAAATTAAATTGTTAAAATGGGATCAAAACAATCGTAAAATTAATGCAGCAGCTAAGCTAGTTTTTTCACTTTAATTGGCTAGTTAAGTAATTTTAAAAATAGTTAAAAGACTCTTCTGAAGATCTTGTTATCAAATTAAGTATACGCCGCGTGCGACTGACAACAACAATTGACATTTGATTTTGTCGGCAAGCGATTTTGTGGCCCAAAGCTAGTAATTTTGTTTGACATATGATGCCAAAAAACAAAAAAACCAATACTCGCCCGAAATTTTATTAGTTTTTGCACTGTGAGCTGTTGACCCACGGCAAGTTGAGCAAACTGCTCACATTACAAACGTGAGTGTTGAACATTTTTCAATTAAATGTGCAAACAACTTGCTAAAAAATATTTGTCAATTTATTGAGAGGCAGCACTTCACAGACTCTCACAAATTGCTGTGATTTAGTTGACGGTGAAACCATGAAATATGAGTCTTGGGTCTGTCATAACAAATGTGATTCCACCCATACAAAAAGTACACACATATGCACATAAATTGCAGAAGGCGTCATTAGAAAACTTGCGTTTTGCTGGAATTGAGCCTTATTTATGTGGCCCAAAGCCGTTGGGCAATCAGACACACCCTGCTCAGACATTCGTAAATTTATGCAACAGCCCTCGAGCCGGGCGCTAAATTATTTTTTAATTTCCCTGGGTTGAGAGGCCTAAGAAAAGTTTTTTTTTTTCTTTCGTGTTGTTGCAGAAAACACAAGAAGCAACATAATAATCAAGTCAATAAAAAAGCCATAAAAAACCGAAAATATCGCAAAAGGCCAAGGCGCTTGGCATGTCCAAGTCTATTTGTCTAACTGTGTATGTGTGTGGCTATTGTGGCATGCCCAAGACATACACACACACATAGAACACACACATACACAAAGGACATGCCATAGACAAATATCAGACAAGACAAGACAAGACAAGGGCAATACGTACAAACTTGTAGAACGATAAAGCAGGCAATAAAAACCACTGAGCATAATAAAAATTACATTTTATTTTATTTCTTGTGTGTTGTGGTTGTTCTTGTTGTTGTTGTTGCGATTGCTGCTGTTGTTGTAAAGATACAGCATTTTTAAATACACACGCACATCAACAGGCTACAGGCTAAAGTCCTGTCACAAATTACGTTAAGATATTTTTGTCCCTAGATTGCGTGGCCAGCAAACAACAACAACAACAACAATGACAACGACAACAAATAGGAAACAACAGCAAGAAATTGATGCCGCATACTTTGAATAATGTGCCACACCCCTCCACCCACACCACTCCCCTCCTAGATCTGTGTTCCCCTGGCCAAGCAAATAATGACTCCCCCGTGTGCCTGTTGAAGTGACCAAGTACTACGATTACCATTTGTGGACATTTAACTGTTTCTAATAATTATGCAAATGTGTGTCACTTCATGTCGCCCTCTCGTGGGGCACCAAAAGCATCCACCCCCTCTCCCCCTGCCCCACTACTCTCTGTGCCAGCTCCAGCTCAATTATGTGCCGCATATAATCAAGTGGTGGCGTCCATAAAAAGCACTCAACAACTGGGACATTATCAAATTTAATGATGCACTGTTTCATTTCAGTCTCAAGTGGGAATTGTCTTGACTGCTTTTTTTGGCTGTGGATCAGCTTACAGTTTTTTAATTTCCTTTAAATGTGGATACTTTTATTTAATTGCATTGACATCGGTAAGAAATGTAGCAGAAATTAATATAAAGGTTGTTTATTTTATTAATATTACTATTTATATTCGGTTTTGTTTCAGTTTTTAATTGCATTGACAGCGGTTAAAAATTGACCTATATAAATATTGCATATTTAATAAATATTGTTATTTATATTCGATTTTATTTTATGGTTTTCTTCTTATCACTTATTCTTCTTACAGTTGCCCCAAGCAATTAAAATTTAATGACCGTTTTTGATTTATTTAATTTCACTTTAATTTGCATTAACAGAAGTTAAAAATTGAACAGAAATTAAAATTGCGTATTTTACAAATATTACTGCTAATTTTAGAATTTGTTTAGAAGTTTTCTACTTTTCATTTCATCACTTTTAGTCAAATATTTTTCAAATTAATGAGTTTTATTATTTAATTTAATTTTCTATAACTGTGACAGCGTATTTAATTTGCCCAAAAATTAATATAAGTATTGTGTAAATGTTACTATTTTAATTAGATTTTGTTATTTGGTTTTTTCTTATAGCTGAAATATATTTTGTATTTTCTTATTGCACTGCCAGCAGATTAAAAGTGTTAAGGAATTAATATAAATATTATATTTGGTTATTTGATTTCCTTATTTTCTCTTGGTATATTAAAGTTTTAAGTTCTTGGCTATAAAATCTGCAAAAATGGTTAGAATAATTCCACACTCTGCCACAAACCGGATGTCGCCCGACCATGCAAATTAAGTGAAAAATTACAAGGCACAAGAAATAATTACATACTTTGAATGCACTTGACTGTGTGCGCGAGTGTGTGTGTGCTAGTGTGTGTGTGTGTATGTGTGTGTGTTAGTGTGTCCGGAGGTCACACAATGCCAGTTGCGCTTGCATAATTATAAAATTACTTGCCGCCAAGTGGCAAACAACGCGCACTTCCTTGGCTCATTGTTATACGATTCGCACTCCTGCATAGAAAATGAACTGCTACACAAGTGCTATATGGAAGTATATATAATATGTGACCATGTTCTTTGACTCACAATCCAACTGGGGTATTATGAGAACAAATACTAAAACTAATTACTTGGTGGATGCTATAAAAGTGTGACTTGTTGCTGGATTAAACTTCGGTTATTTTCACCTGAGTTTCAAGCTGACAGGAATAATCCTTAGTAGAATTTTAGATAAGGTTTCAGAGTGTAATCTTTCTTTGATGGCGTACACAGTAGTAGTAGTTTGTGGGGTAGAATGGGGCGAAAATGTTCTTTCTTCTACATCAGAACGATTTGTCGTCGTAAGAAAATTGAAAATATTAAACTGAACTGAGGATGTTTTTTTTTTAAGTAAATATTAGTAATCATTTTAGTTTGATTTTATTATTGTTGTAAATATATTTTTCTTAATTTATATATTTTATTTATAATATATAAAGCTAACTTAAGACCTAACTAAGGTCTGCAGCTTTAGACTAACTAATATTAAATAGCAATATCAATATATGAAATACTTATAAGTTGGCTTCCTTTTACGATTTTATATTTTAGCTATATTTATGTAAATTATTTCACAATGTAGTATTTGTAAACACACCCAAGCAAATTAACGTTGTGGCTGGTAGGGTCTGAAGAAAGCTGATATGTGATATGAGAGAGTTGAGCAGTAATATGTGAAATAAACAGCTCTAAACAGTATTATTTATATTTATATATTTATGCTCTAATTCA